GTATTGTCTTTCTCATTGTTTTTTGACTGTAGACACAGTGTGACCAGTTAACTTTTGCTCTTGCTGCCTTGTCTTCCTTCCATAATGGATTATGCCCTCAAATATGAGCCAGAATAAACCCTTATTCGGTGCCCTTGTTACAAATTTTGTCACAGTAATAAGGGAAGTAACTAATAAATACAGCAGTCAGGTTGGCAATAAACTAAACATGACACCATGTTATCCTAGCAATTCTTTTCATAGAGATTTATATATGAGAAACATAGTTCATGTATATATATATATGTGTGTATACATATGTTCACAAAATTCATAGCTACAGCATTCATAACATAAAATCAAAATGTGTATCAATTGAAAGAATAAACAAATTATGGTATATCTACATGGTATAATTCTGCTCAGCATTAAAAAGAGATGGACTGTTGTTATACTAAAACACAGAGACCTCTTACCTTCAGATCTTTATACCGGATCCAAAAGAATGCATTTTGCTCTATATGAAATCCTAGAATACATATATTTTAAAAATTGGAAGAGGCTGTTAACTGTAAATGGGCACCAAGGAGACTTATTAAGATGACAGAACTATTACATGATGATTGCTCTGTGTTGGTTTTGCAGTTGAACAGATTTGCTAAAGCCTATTGAATTGTTCAACTAAAGTTGGTAAATTGTATTATACATGCAAATTGCACCTCTATGAAACCTGGAAACTAAAGGCTGTTTAGTGTTTAATCTTCTACCTTTGAAATGTTTCCTATGTAATTGAAATTATGGCTTGCTCAAGGACAATCAAATGACCAAAAACATAACTCTTACCTATAAGTATAGATAGGAGCTCAAAGAGTAATTTTTCTTTTTATGTAATACTATATGTAAATGTCAAAACCATAATTTATTTTCAGATGATATGACTTTAAATGCCAATGATAATTTTTTTGTATTTTCAAAGTTCTATGTTATATAATCTGTTGGCCTTTTTTTTACTGTTTAATTATTATAAAATAAGGATTCTAGCTAACTATTGACATTTCTGTGTGAACAGAAAATAATATGCTCTATAGAATATTTTGCTAAATTTGAGATGGCTTTTATAGGATGCAGTGAAGGTTCCTCAGTTGGAAGGAGACAGTGAATTTTGAGGAATCAGTTAATATATGTAAGATATTCATAATAGAAGACTTGATGCATCATTTAAATATACTTGAAGTTAGTTTAAAATTGGGAATAGTACTTATATGTCCAAAGCCTTGTGTAAGTTGGGCTCAAGAAAACCAAACAATGAATGTTAACATTGAAATATTAATTAGAAAATATTTCATAATATGAATTTTAAATATTGTTTTCAGTAACTAAATAGATGGGATTTAAATTTGCTAGCACTATCAAGCCCATATCACCATGGGCTATAATAGATATTTTCCAGCTATTCTCTTTTTCTTTTTTTTTCCTGAGACAGAGTTTCTTTGTGTAGCTTTGGAGCCTATCCTGGAACTTGATTTGTTGACCAGGTTGACCTTGAACTCACAGACAACCGCCTGCCTCTGCCTCCCAAGTACTGGGATTAAAGGTGTGTGCCACCAATATCCGGCCTCCCCCCCCCCCAACTATTCTCTACAGTACAAGGAAACTTGCCTGAGGACATTAAGCTAGTAAAAGAGGGACAGAGAATTCAGCTTCCAGGTCTGACTTGTTAGATGTTCACTATCCTATTCCCACAACAAAGAAAAACCCAGTAGAAACTGAAAAATTGGCAAGTCTTATGTTCTTCACAGAGTTGGAGACACTAACTACCACCTTGAGAACTGGAGACAGGCGGTTACAGAGAATGGACAGTTGAGAGCGCTTAAAGTTGGCAACTTATTGCAGGGTGGCAAATCTAGACTGGATTGAGGGAAAAAAAAACTTGTGGTGTCTGGTCTTCTCAAAGTCTTCAAGCTTTATGAGTTTCAGAGCCAAGTGCCCTTTCCTGTTCCCATGGTGAGAGTTAAGGTTCTTGGACCACTATGCCACTTAGATTTAATCATAGGATTAAACCAGATTCCCCAGTTCACATATTGCAGGCCGTATCAACAAAGGACCTGCATAATAATAGGGGATTACAACTGAAAAACTGCAAGGTAGGCAATTTAAAGAGAATAATGGAAACCCAAAGACAGTAAGAGTGACAGAATAAGGACACTAGTAGAAGCTAAGATTACTTTACAGGCTGCTCACAGTACAGTCAACACAGCATTTGCCTTGTCAGATAAACATGAAGTTTCAGCTAGAATGTTTACCTGGTTCCTTTTATTCAGTAAATCATATCTAGATTCAACTTCAAATTTCAAGAGATTCAAAGACAAAGAGAGAATCTTGAAAGAAAACACCCAAAATACCACTTTGCAAAGAATTAAGGATAAGAATTACATGGAATTTGTCTTTGGAAAACCCCCGAGTAATGGAGGGAAATATTTTCAAGTGTTCAAAGAAAAGAAACTCATCAACTTGGTCTATAATTGTCTTTAAAAAGCAAGAGGAATTAAAGGAATCTTGTACTTGTTGGCCAGTCTTGTGTGAAATGTTAAACTAAGTTCTTCAGAAAAAGCAGCAACCACTCCTTCATACTGAAAGTGGCAGATTATCAAAATGGATTTTTAAGCCCTATTGTATAATTCATATGCTTTATATTTAACAAATTCATTGTTAAAATATATATTAATTGTAGTATACATAGTTAAAGAACACAGCCCCACCTAATATAATTTTGAACCACTTTCATTACCCCCAAAAGATCGTTTGTTATAAATCATTTCGTACCCCTGGTCTTGCCTCTACTTCTAGTCCTAATCATATTTTTATTCTGAATATTCTGAAATGAGATGTACCATGTATTTGAATGATTTGTTTAACCTATTTTTGACATTTATCTCTCTTAGAACATATATAAATCGGTGTCTCTTTTTATTGCTGAATAATGCTCTATTCCTTAGTTACATCCATTTTGTTTCATAACTCACCAGTTGTTCCCTTTGGCTATTAAGAACAGTGCTACACTGCATATTTGTATAAGTGTTGGTAGGAATTTCTGGGTTTGCTAAACTTTGTCTCATGCTGCAGTACCTATCACCTTCCATCCCCACTGGAGTATGTGCTATGTTAATTTTGCCATATTCTCCCTACCATTTATTGTTTGTCTTTGGCTTAAAGCTGTCCTGGTGGGTGTGAAATGATGCTTCATTTTAATTTCAGTTTGTATTCTTTTTGGCTAGTAGTGCTAAACATCTTTTTATATCCCTATTCTTTTATCTATCCTCTTTGAAATACTTAGATGGAACTGAAATTTTTATGTGTATACTATTTATAAGAGATATATATGAAACATAAAGAGATAGATTGGTTAAGTTCACTATAAAAGATAAACCAAGAACATGGAAATCAAAGGAAAAGTATTGTAGCTATCTTATTATGCAAAACAAGTATTATTCATTGCTTGATAGAATATATTTGTAAAAAATACAAGTAGATTTTTGCTAGAGACCATCATCCAGTGTAAAATTTTGTATTCATTGTTTAATGTTTTCTGGTGTTTGGAAATTGAAGATGACTAGAAATTAGATTAGATTTTCTGTCTCATTCATTTAGAAATGAATAGAATTTTTATTTGTTGCTTGCGTGATGGTTCTTAATGTTAATTATAAATTTAAGTGGCCTACTTTCCACAAATATAGGATGTTTTACTCAATCCTCTTTTCACTTTCTGGAAATAGTACCTTCGGTTATATGAGAAAATAATTTATCATGTTGTTATATATCTATGCAGTAAGAGTACAAGATGTAATAGTAAAATAATAAAATTTACCCTGGGGCTGGGAATTTGGCTTAGTATATAGCACTTCAGTGACATGTACAAGGTCCTAGGTTTAATCCATCAGCATAAATAAAATTCAGATCTAAAACCTAAGCTTATATTTCCCCACACTAAATGGATCTGCCTGAATACCACTGGTACATTCGTCTTCTCAAGTAACTTGAGATTGGAGTTTATTCTCTGAGAGTACTCATAGCTTCTTAATGGATACGGGTATGAGTCATGAAGATCAAAACTTACTGTGAAATATTAGAAAATTGGGTTCCAAATCACAGTTTACTAAGATTCAGTCTCGTTGGCCTCATAGCCTTTAAGTGTTACAGCCCCCAAAGACCTGAGAATTACTTTTTATATGGTTATTATAAGAAACCAAGCCAGCTTGAAACATGAATTACATTAATGGAATGTTGAAAAATTAGTGTTACATAAATTGCATATATTTAGATTGGGTCTGTTGGCCACAGTGGAGGCAGAGGCAAACAGACTGGTCTACAAACTGAATTCTTGGCCAGCCAAGATTATATAGTGAGATAAATAATTATGGTTTTTAAAATGAAAAATGTTTTATGAAACCCTGAAACTTTATATTTTCCCTTATGCATACTTTATAGTATTAAAAGTTTAAATATTATTCATATTTGTTGAGATTTTAATTTGGGATGAATATTTCTGAAAATAGAAAATTAGGAAATATATACTTCATAATGGATAAAGTTTGATAATTTTTTTTCTGAGTTGAGCACCTAGATTTTGTTTCGCTTTCTAGGAAGCACCATAAACTTTACATTATTGATATGTTATATGTATTAGAGATTATATGATAGAATATGAAGATATTGGTATACATTAAACTTAAGATCATGGCCATTCATTCACCTGTGTGCATATAGGCAGCACTAATTGGACTTGGGGTTATTTATAACAAAAACAAAAATTAAAAGATGCCATGAAGTTAAAAGGGAGAAGGGGTGGTGGTATTAGAGGGAGTTGTTAGTATTGGTGAATAGTTTTTTAAATATTCATCCTATAAATGTATGAAACTTTTAAAAACTATGAAGTATAAAAATCATATCCATAATTTTCCCAATTTTTAAATATTTCCATCTTTAACCAGTAATTTTAAATACTCCAATTTTATCTTATGCAGGTTGAAGATTGTAAAAATTTCTTTTAAATGCAAACAATTTTTTATTCAACTTAGAAAAGAATTGGTGAGTATTGATCTAATAATTATTGATATAAATGAAATCTTTTAAGATTGTCTAGCCATACGTGGGGAAGATGGCTCAATTTGTATAGGGCTTATACAGTGAAGGAACATGAGTTTGATGCCTAGAAACCAAATAAAAAAGCTGCTCTTATAATCTAACAAAGAGCAAACAGAGACAGAATGATCCATCCAACTCCCTGACCTGCCAGTCTAACTTCATGGGAGAGCTCCATGCTGATGAGAGACTGACTCCAAAAATAACACCTGAGATTATCCTCCATACTAAATCCATAGGACTTACTTTCCTAGGAAAGCTTATTTCATTTTGGAAGTGCTGAATATTTAGTTTTTTAGTTTATCTTGTATCAAAGTGTTAGTATACTGTTAAAACAACTTCATCTTGTAAATTATCTTACCTGTTTGATTAAGTTAAACTAGCTTTGCCTGATATGGTGACATAAAGCTGTAATCACAGCATGCGGAATGACAAAATTATTTGAAGCCATCCTGGGTTTCCCTGGCACAAAAACATACATATTTACAGACATGAATATGCAAACAAACTATCCTTGTTTTTTGGTTTGCTTTATTTTTTATGTCTTTGCATATTAATGCATGTTTTAAGGTGTATATGTGTAAAATTTCCGTAAAAATCTTAAAAATGTATTTTGAGTCCAATGTAATACCCACCTATTTGGGGATATTGGCCTATTTTGTGATTATGGTTTATCATTTATGGCTGTTTTTTTATAATAGAATGTTTATAAAAATGAAATTTAGTTTGGGAAAGTACCTATACCTTAAGTATATACTTGGTAAACTCAGAATATATAGAGCATGTCCTAGTCTCATGCTAATGGAGCTGTTATCTACTTCAGGTATTAACCTTCCCAACATAAAAGCATTATTCCAATCTGTTCTGCCATGAATTAGTTTACAATCATGGCTTGTAAATGAAACCGTACAGCATACAGCATGTGCTTGCCTTCTTTTCTTTAACTATGTGAAATTCATATTGTTAGACTGTCATTCATGATGTTTCATGGTAACCGTAATGTGTTATATTCCACTAAGTGCATATGCCATAAATTAGCAGTTGATTCTTCTGCTAGTGGCAATTTTATCATTTCCCAATGGGGAATATTATGAGTAATGGTGGTGTAGAACTGTCATATTGTGTGTGTGTGTGTGTGTGTGTGTGTGTGTGTGTGTGTGTGTGTGTGTGTAAATATCCAGAGTAGGAAGTATAATAAATCTTCTTATCCAGAAACTAGAAAATAGATATTTTACTTGGAGTAAATATAGAGATTATTGTAGAAGACAGCTTTTCTAGTTCACCTGAATGTGGGAGAATGTCTTATCAGTAATAATAGTAATAAGTTATGAAATGTAACATTTATTGAAAACAGTGTGTGTGCCTGGCAATATATGAGCCATTTTTATTATTTAGTTCTCATGCTTGTTCTGAGATTGTATCAGTTAGCTGTAAGTAACAACAACATCATAAATCAACTAGTGAGTGGTTATAAAGAACACATACATATATACTCTGCAAAAGGTCACATTGCAAATGTTTTCTCTGTAAAACATTTGTTTTTAACTATCCAAATTACAGCCTGGTGCCGTGATGCACACCTGTAATCCTTGTGCTCAGAAGGCAGAGCCAGTGGAGTAATTGCTTGTTCAAGTCTACCTAGCAAGTTTCAGACCATCTAGAGCTACATAGCAAGACTTTGTGCCAAAACAACAGCAGCAAATCCAAATTTTCCTTTGCTACACTTACATTTAAGACACTTTATGTCCACTGTTTACAAATTGGAAAAAATGTTGTGTTTCAAATACAGTTCCAGTGTCAGAATTATACACAGACTGTTTAAAGCGATTGTTTAAAAGAAAGGTAACATGTATGCATCTTAGTGCACACACATTGAGAATGAAGTTGCTGTCTTATACTCAGTAGACATTGTCATTTTTCATGTTTATTATATATCATACAACACATAAACTGACAGTGCATATACAAACAATTATTAATGGTACATTTAATTTTCTAGTAACCAACAAGTTATTCTGTAATCATTTTACATTCTAATATGAAAGTATATTCTTATATGAACATTTTTATCATGCTTTAATTATGGGAAATATTTTCATGATGAAAAAATTTCTTGAATAATACACAGGAGTCCTTTTTAACCTTAAAGTTGATTGATCATTTTGAAATATTTGAAAACTGGCAACTGATCATCAAAAGGTATCATTAAGAGAGGGAAGTAGCATTGACTGTATATGTAATACATATGCCCCCACAAGTCCTTGCATATAGATAATATCCAATGAGAAAATATGCCAATATCTTGAATATCACTTCAGGAATGACAGTGTCCACATGGTAGCCAAGAAGGTTGTGAGTTCAAAATCACCTTGATCTACCACAAAAACTAAAATAAGGTAGACATGGTGGCCCATACCTCTAATCCCATCACTTGAGAGGCTAACATAGGAGTATTGCCACAAGTTCAAGGCCTGGTCTACAGAAGATGCCATGCTTTACCACTCTTCCCCTACCCAAAAAAAACTACATGACCATTAACATGAAAAGATGTTGAATTTTATTAGTCATCAATAAGAGATATATGTCATAACCAAAATGTTCTACTTCTGTATGTCTATCAAGACAGTGAAGTTTGAAAGACTGAAAATAGATGGAGTGGTCCATGCTTATAATGCTTCATCCAAAAGATAAGAAAGGAGAACTGTCATGAATTCAATGTCCAGCCTGAACTTCATAGTGAGTTCCAGACCAACCTAGGGTACAGTGTGAAATACTGTCTCAATGAACAAACAAATACAAAACAAAAACAGAATTACTAAAGCTAGTTAGTATATGGAACACACACTGTTATAGGGAGGAAGTATTAACCACTCAAGCTAAACATACATGTTATGATCTAGGAACAGAAATATGTACATACGTATATAGACACTAGGAATATATATAATACAACATTACTTTTCTATCCCAAATGGAAATATCAAATGTTTATAAATGGTTAAGTAGATAAAATATTGTGGATATATTACAATATAATATAATGAAAAATGAAAACAAGTATATCTAATTTATGATCATGACAGAAAAGGGATTATCATTAGGAGATAATTTAGTGGAAGAAAGCAACAGAGAATATTATAGGAGTTATAGGATGATCTGTATCATAGTCTGGATTAAGTGGTCACATTTCCTGGAAATCAGATCTATTTCTCATGAGATGTGTGCTTTGCTATACTGTGCTTTATGTGAAAAAAATTGGAGAAATCATTCTATTTTAGTGCTAGTGAATTTCTAATGTAACTTTGTAATAGTGCTGGGAGATGTTGAATATTCTTATTTTTAATCAAGGCAGAATTACAAATTGTGGGCCTATTACAAATTTAATCTATGGCCTTGGATTGTATTTTGAAGCAGAATCATAGTTGATAAAATTTAAAAGTAGAGAATAGAAGATCCCAAAAGTTGAAAAATTACTAAAGTACACATTTTACAAATCTTTTCATTTAGTTCACTAAGTCTTTGTCTAATAAACAAAATCATTGAGGGAGAGATTAGCATTTGCAGGGCTTGCGTAATTTGTCAAAAGTATTATCAGATCCTGATATTTTCCATATTCTCTGAATTTTGTCATTTAATTCAGCATGAATCTAGAGAAACATTGCTGGGATTTAACATGGTGAACTACAGAGCATGTAAAAATTTGTGGAAAGCATGTGTAGAACATCACACATTCTTCCGCCTGGATAGACCACTTCCACCTCAAAAGAATTTTTTTGCACATTATTTTACCCTGGGTTCCAAATTCCGGTACTGGTAAGTAGCACTTTTATACTAAGACATTATTTGGGGAGATTTTTTCCCCTTTACCTTTAGATTAAAGGTTTAGGCCTAGAGAGATGGCTCACCGGTTAAGAAGAGCACTGACTTCTTTTCCAGGACACAGGTTTAATTCCCAGGACCCAAATGGCAGCTGACAGTTTCTATAACGCCAGTTTAACGACATCCATCATCCATCACCCATCACCCTCTCCTGACCCTCAGAAGCACCTGGGGACACAGAGTATTGCATACAAAACACCCATATACATAAAATTTAAAAATATATTAATTCATTAAAGACCTAGATACAAAGCAATGGAATCATTGTTAGTCACAAAACCTACAGAGTCAAAATACCCATGGAATCTTGTCTGTATGTCTGTATCAGTACATCCTATGGTATCTTATGGTGTACACCAAGCTTGAAGTCCTGTGCCTTTGATTGTTCTGTATATAGTTATAAAGTAATTAGCCACATTTGCATAGTTACACTGTCTACAAATTTTGCAGTTCCCAGTGTATTTATTACACATATAGAAACTTTTCTATAAGATATGTTCATTTCATTTGTACAAACTAAGATATTATATTCTACATAAGTATACAGTTTTGTTTTGGTTTTTAAATCTCCAGTTTTAGCATTTTTTGGAGCTATCTAACCTGAAAGAATTCAAAACAACTATTAGGCGGGAAAAAAAAAGATTAAGTTGTAATTCCAGATCCTGACATTTTCCTGTTTTCTTTGTCTATAATACAGCATAAATCTAAAGAAATAACTTTTCCTAAAATTATCTCTTAGTCTTTCCTGTTATTTTTATTTTATGTGTATGGGTGTTTTGCCTGCATGTATATCTGTGTACCACATGTGTGCAATTCTCACAGAAGCCAGAAGAGATCCCCTGAGTTTGGAATTATAGACAGCTGTGAGCTAATGTATGGGTGCTAGGGATCAAATCTGGGTTCTCAAGAAGAGCAGCCAGTGCTCTTAACTGCTTAGCCATTTCTCAAGTCCCCCTAAATTTGTATTACTTGTTTTCTTTAAAGTAATTTTTTGATGGATATGTAAAGAGATAAAGTGTGGCCCTTGATATGTATGCTGTATGTAATCACCAGATATATCCACAGCCTCAGATATACATCGTGCCCTTGTGTTGGGAATAGTCTAAACTGTCTATTACCTATTTTGAAATGTACAATTAATGTCAGTCATAGTCAATCTTGTGTGCTATAGAATATAAGAAGTTATTTTTCCTATTTAGCCGTGTCTTTTGGAATTTATTAACTTTTTAAAATTTCCCCCAAAGGTAGCAATTTTGGGGAAATAACTGTGAAGAAACCCTGGTTAGTCTTACATGTAGATACATAATAGCTATTTTTAAAGTGGAACCTTTTAAGACTTATGCAGAAAAAGTTACTGGTGTTTTAATAAAACAAATGGTATTCATTTTTACCTGTTTTTGTTTTTGTTTGTCCATCTCTAATATTTTATGCTAGAAGAAATTATTATATGATAAGAAAAATGTTTAGACATTCCTCTAAAAGATTAATAATATAAACCCCAACATGTATAAATGCTCAACTTGTAATATCAGTAAAAATAATAATAACATTTGTACATAATATATCACTTGAAATACATGCCTGTTCCCCCCAAGAAAATATGTAAGTATGGGAGTTAAGTATGAATCATGAAATAATTTTTTTTAACCAAAAAGAAAAACACAGCAGATTCTTCTAGCTTGATAACATGGTTTAGCAAAGCCTTGTTTACTTTCCTAAAAGCAACATTCAGAAAGGTAAGGTGCAGTACTTGCCATTTTATAAGTTAAATGGACTTAGGAAGAGCATGCCAGGTCAGTGGTGACAATTAAGGAAAGGCCGAGGCTACTTTTACCTACCTGATCATACCCTCAGCAGAGACAAGAATGTCCAGTGCACTCTGTGAATTGGAGGACTTTGCAAGCCCTTAATAAATAAAGGTACTCCTTAAATGAGTTTAATTCCTAAGTGACCAGTGGTGTAATTATACAAAGACACACACTGTGTTTAATTTAGGCCACAAAGAAATGAATAGATTGTAGTAACTAGCCTTCAGTTGCAATTCAAAGAGGTCTCAGATAAAATAAGAAAAATGTCAAATAGATTACTCAAACCATACAACATCCAATAGAAAACCCAGTCACGATGAATTCAAAATGAAAAGATAGTTGAAGAACTACTATGAAAAAGAAAAATCACTGAAGCAGAAGGAACTTTCTAGTATAGATAGTAATTTAAAAAACCAAGCTCAACAACTGCTTGTGTATAGAAAGAGAAAGAAACTTAAGACTGGAGACTGGAGAAGTAGAGAGCTCAGTAGTTAAGAGCAAGTGCTGCTCTTCCAGAGCTCAATTATCAGCACTCATGTCACCACGCAACTGCCCGTGACTTCAGCTCCATTGGGACCAAGGACCTCTTGCCTCTGGAGCCGCCTGTAGTCATGTATATAGACACACACATACACATGATTAAAAATAAATATAAAACTAAAATTGGCAAGGAGAAAAAGCAACTGTTCAAGCAGTTACTCCCTTTGGTAACACTGGCCTAGTATCAGCCCATTTCATATAATTTTTTTTAACAAAACTAAGATTATGGATGTTTTTTAAATTGAATAAAATGCTTTAAAGTAACTTTATTGGAGCATTCACATATAGTAAACAGCGTTGTTCAAGTTTTAAAGTTTGGAAGTTGAATTCCCTTGTGAAGATTCAGTCAAGGTAGCGCACATGCTCATTATTCTCAAAAGGGCCTTCGTGTGTCTCTTGAACTCCTTTTGCCCACCATTTGTCCTTAGGCAGTTGCTGGTCTGTGGTCTCTTTAAGATGGTTTTCGTTATCTAGGTTCTTACATAAATCGAAGCATATTCTTTTATAATGTGACTTCTCTTACTCAGCATAATTATGTCATCTCATCCATATTGCTTATATAGGTAGTTTTCTTTTATTGTAGAGTACTGGTCTACTATATAAATAAAGTTTGCTTATCCATTCACCTAATAATGAATATCTGTTTTCCAGGTTTGGGCTATTATAAATAAAACTTCTGTGAGCATGTATATACATATAATATACATATATACACACATGCATACACATCTATATGTGTTTATGTATTGCTTTATGTGCATGTTTGCTTTGTTTTCTTGGGAAAACAGGAGTAGAATGGCCAGGTTATATGACAGGTAGATATTTAGACTATGAAGGCATCTCCAAATATGTCTTCAAAGTAATTATGCCATTTATATACAATACTGCAATGTGGAGGGGTTCCAGCTCAGTGTTGGTGGTATAGCCTCATGGCAGAACTTGCCTGGCATATAGTAGGCTCTCGGTTCAATCCCCAGCACTACCCCCAAACAGTGTGGAGTTCCAGTTCTCCCATGGACTCATCAGTGTTTGATATTTTCATTGTCTACCTGGGTTTTTTGAACAGCCTGGGTCTTATTTTGATGAAGTTCAGTTTACCCGTATGTCATTTTATGAATCTTAAGTTTTGTTGTCATATCTTTGAAAATGTTATGTAACCTAAGGTCATGAATATTTGTTCCTTTATTTTCTTCTAAACATTGCACAGTTTTAGCTCTTGCATATAGATCCATAGATCATTTGGATGTAATTCCTGTATTTGGTATAAAGTATACACTGAAATTCATTTCTTGCCTATAGATGTTCAGTTGTTCCTTCATTCTTTTGTTGTTCATATTAGTACGGTCTTGTTCATTCACTTTTTGGCTAAAGTGTAGAAGATTCACTCTTCCAAGTTAGTTCTTTTAAAAAAGGAATTTTTGGTACTCATGGCTTTTTTTTTCCATTTGAATCTGAGAATTACTAATAGTGTCTCTATTCCTAGGTTTAAAAAAAAATTTCCAGCAGGATTGACTGTTTTGATAATATCAATTGTTGGAGAGCTGATATCTTAAAAATACTGGTTCTTTCCACACATGAAGCTCAGTGTGTTTTATTTTTCATTTCTCAGCAATGTTTGTAGTTTTGGGTGCCCATGTCTTTCAGGTCTTTATTACCCTTAAGTATTTTGATATTTTTATTCTAAATCGTGGTTTAAAATTTCAATATTGGTTATTCCTGCCATTAAATAGAATTGCCTTTTCTTTATTTATTTTCATTTTATTTATTTGTTTGTTTATTTTGGTTTTTCGAGACAGGGTTTCTCTGTATTGTTTTGGAGGCTGTCCTGGAACTCGCTCTGTAGACCAGGCTGGCCTCAAACTCACAGAGAGCTACCTGCCTCTGCCTCCCGAGTGCTGGGATTAAAGGTGTGCGCCACCAATGCCTGGCAGGCTTTTTCTTTTAATATCAATATTCTTTTGTGAAAAGTTGCCAAGCTCAGTGTGCAAACTGTTCTTAAGCTTTCGAGGGTTTTTCTGCTTACAGGATGAAGATTGCCTTAGTTCTTCCTTTGTAATTTGATGCCTTTCATTTCTTCCATGGAGAATCCTTTTACAGTGTTGTAAAATAGTATGTTCAAGTGTTGTTTCCTCTTAGGGGAAAGCATGTAGTCTTTCACTATTAAGTATCATGTTGGTTGTGAAGTTTAAAAAAAAATGACCAGTATATGATACATTGAAGAAGCGCTCTCATTTTACGAATGTTTTCATCCAGATTAGATATTGGGTTTTGTTAGATGGTTCTTCTGTAATTGTTGATATCATCATGATGGTTTCCCTTTTAGTTGTTAATATAAGGAATTTCATTGTGAGTTTCAAATGGGAAACAAGTTCTTTATTCCTAAGATAAATCTCATTTGCTCAGGGAATCCCTTTTATACACTGTCTAATTTGACATAACCAAAAAATTTTCTGGAATTTTGCATTCATACCTGTGAAGGATATTTGTCTATAATTGTCCTTCATATAATTATGTTGGGTTTTGGAATCAGGGTAAGGTTGGCTTTAGTGAAAGAGTTCAAAAAATTTAATTTCTGAAAGATTTTGCATAGTCAAAATACCATTTCCCAGTGATGGTATTACAGGCACAGGCTGCCACACTGGCTTTTCCTGGGTTCCAGAAGAATGAACCCAGGTCCTCATGATTGTGTGACAAGCATCTCTCCAGTCCTTCCTTTAAACATTTTGTTTGTTTGTATTACCGTTTGGTTTTTTGAGACTGGATTTCTCTATTTAGTCCTGTCTGTCCTGGAACTCTCTCTGTAAACCAGATTGGCCTGGAACTCACAGAAATTCACCTGCCTCTGCCCAAGTGCTGGGATTAAAAGCGTGTGCCACTACTACCTGATTACCTGGCTCTTACTTCCTTTTTATAGGAAAGGAAGTAAATGCTTGATAGAATTTATCAAGGGGTAATTTCATTTATAGAAAAAATTTAAACAGCATATTCAAATAATTTACTAGATTAGCCAATTCAGATGATTATTTTTTTCTGAGCAAATATTGGTAGTTGGTGTAGTTCATTCCATTTAGGTTGTTGACTTTGTAGTCATAAAGTTCCTAATGACCCTCATTATCATTATAAGTCTAGAATTTATAGGAATGTTACTTCACTTCTTTCATTCTTGCTTGTGTGTTTTGTCTCCTTTTCCCCAATCAGTCTTGATAGAATCTCTTTCAGATTAGATTATTTTTAAACAATCTATATGCCAAATATATTTTTTTAATTCAGACTTCTTCTGTAGCTCAGTTCTAAAATAAGGTTTCTATGGAAGTACCTGAAAATGGTAAGGTCAGCCAGGTTGCCATTCAAGTAAGCTTAAAGCCAACATAGGAGACATTATTCAGTATATGAAATTTCAAGATCTCTGAATTAGGAGTTGGAGAGATGACACAGTGCTTAAGAACACTTGCTGATCTTACAGAGGACCTAGGTTGGGATCCTAATATTTAGCTTAAAACTAATTAACTCTAGTGCCAGGAGTTCTGACATTCTAGAATTAAAATGCTTTTCCAGTGAGAACTCACTCTGTACACTTAGAGATTAATATAAGGAAAAGCTGTTTAATATAGTGCATATCTGACTCTGGGTAACATCCCTAAGGAAACTGGCCTTAATTAGAAGATTTTGCTAACTTATGTACACCATAACTTAAGCATTCCATACATGCTATCATCCTTTAAATCTCTTTCAGGCTCCAACCATAGGCCAGGTTACACTTTGAACAATTTAAACAGAGCCAACAGACTATAACTCTCCTTAGGCATTTAAGCACATGGGAGACTTACACAGCAAAGATATTACATATTATCCAAATTATTTTAACTACACCTGTGTCATTCTTTTTCAAATAGTTGTTACCCATGGTCATTTTGCCTATCTCAGAATTAGGCTTTCCTCAAGAGTAGATCTGGCCGGGCGTTGGTGGCTCACGCCTTTAATCCCAGCACTTGGGAGGCAGAGGCAGGCGGATCTCTGTGAGTTCGAGGCCAGCCTCCAAAGCCACAGAGAAACCCTGTCTCGAAAAACCAAAAAAAAAAAAAAGAGTAGATCTGGGGTCTTTATGATAGACCATGACTATAATGTTGGTTGTAACTCTTGTACTGCCCCCTCACTGATTGTTGGAGGCATGTTGTTTCGTATAGGGATAAACATAGTGGTTGACTATAAGTTAGGGTTGTCTCCTGTCTCCTTTGTTATAGGAATGGAGCCTAATAGCTAGTCAACAAACTATTAGTGAACAAATAAAATTTAGCACCCTAAATTTTGCTTATCTCCAACAGTTCTGGTTAGCAGAGTATTTATTTGGGAGGTATTTTGGAGGGAGTCAATCCCCTTGCTAAATTTTACTTTGTGTGACTTAATGTGTCCTAAGAAAATCTATTAGTAAGTCTTTTATAACATCAGTTCTATACTTTTTTCTTATTTAAAACAATTTTTAATTTTAAATATATTTTGATCATATTCTTACCTTCCCCAAGTCCTTCCAGAGCTGCTCTCCCTCCGTACTCACCCACCTTTAAGTTTTTTCAAAAGACAAACACCCCAGATGCAACAGCAAAACCCCCAAAAAGCAAGAAAACAACAATATACACACAGACACACACACACACACACACACACACACACACACACACACACACACACACACACAATGTGGAGTCCATCTTATATGTTGCTCAAATACTCCTGAACATGAGGCCTGTTCTGTACTGTGACATGCCCAGTGTCACTCTATTAGAGAAAACTGATTTTCCTTCCAGCAGGTATGTGACAGTTCAGTAGTTGCCTTTACCCTACTGACTAAGTTTTAATTCATGCATCCATCCATCCATCCATCCATCCATCCATCCATCCATCCATCCATCCATAAATTCATAACTATTCTATTTCCCTTTCCTAATGAGAGCTGTTTGGTCCATGTAGACAAGTGGTTCCAACATGTAAGACCCGACCCCTTTGGAGATCGAATGACCCTTTCACAGGAGTTGCATATCAGATATTCTGCATACCAGATATTTACATTATGCTTCTTATTATATTATGAAGTATCAGCAGAAATAATTTTATGGTTGGGGGTCACCACAACATGAGGAACTGTATTAAAGGGTTACAAAGTCAGGAAGTTTGATGACCCTTACTCTATACTCTCTGTGTTTCTATGGATTATAGCTTGGTTATCATTGACTTCACAACTAATAGCCATAAATAAGCAACACATACCATATTTGTCTTTCTGAGTCTGTGATACTTCACTTACGATGACTTTTTTTCTAGGTCCATTCTAATGTCTGCAAATTTCATGATACCATTTTTAAAGACTTTTTTTCCTTTTTTTAGTTATTTTTTTTACATTCCAATCTCAGTTCCCACTCCCTCCTCTCCTCCGTCTCTACCCCTGCCCCCTCATCTGCTCCTCCGAGAGGGTAAGGCCTCCCCTAGGAATTCTACTAAGTCTGTCCCATCATCTCTTTGAGGCAGGACCAAGGCACTTCTCCATTCCTACACCCATCTGTCTAGACTAGGCAAGATATGATGACATTTTTTAACAACTGAGTGATACTCCATTGTGTAAATATATCAATTTTTCTTTATTCATTCTTTTGTTGAGAAACATCTAGATTGTTTCTAAATTGTGGTTATTATGAAACATCTTACTCCTGTCAGAATAGCTAGAATCATTTGATACAGAGCACCTCTAACACTAGAGAGAGCATGTTAGCAGGCACAACAGGAAAGGGGCTCCTGTCATCAAACATATGTCTGTTGCACACATCTTGTAAATTGAAGACCTGCTAGCTCAGCTTTGTCCATCCACATGAAACTGGAAAGTAGTCAGTTTTTCCTCTTTACTCTTTTATTGTTGTTCTTGTCATCAGAAATGTCTTGTCTCTTACAAAAGTGTAATATAAGCATGTTGTATGTTGTCATTTGATCCTGTAGTCCCCTTTAAGATATTATGCTTATTTATCTATTTCAGTGGGAGAACTGAAGTCCAGTCAGTTCAATATGGCAAAGAAAAGGCAAATAAATACAGGGTATTTGCAAGGTAAGTCAATTCTGTTTTAGTATCTGAGGTAGTTTTGGTTTTTTTGTTTGTTTCTTTGTTTAGCATGTTAAAGATTTTATTTTGTGATATATGCAGTGTGTGTGTGTGTGTGTGTGTGTGTGTGTGTGTGTGTGTGTGTGTGTGTGTGTGTGTGTGTAGGGCAGAGGACAACTTTGGGGAGTTGGTTCTCTCCATTATGTGGGTCCTGGGGTTGAACCAGCCCAACAGGTATCTGAGCTTTTTAAAAGGATAGCAGTAATTAGAAATGGGGACTGGAGAGATGGCTCACTAGTTAAAAGCACTTACTTCTTTTATAAAAAGATCCATTTCAGTTCTTAGCACCCACATGGTAGCTCACAACTGCCTATAACTCCAGTTCAGGGCATCTGATACCCTCCTCTGGTCCATGGACTCTTGCATGTATGTAGTGTATATGCATATACTCAGGTAAACACACATACTCCTAAACATTTTTAAATTATTAGAAATACTTTTTAAACAATCTGTGAAGTACATAATATACTATGTTTATGAAATGGAAACTAGTTTGTCTAGTGTCCTGATACTTTTTTTTGTTACTTATTTAAGAGCATCAGTCATGCACTGAATACAATAGGTTTGAACAGGCTAAATCAGGTATCACGAATACAAATTTTTGTTGGAAAGTTACTCTCCTGTTACATATTTTTAATAAATATACTGAGTTCTGTTATCTAGCCCATTTCCATATTTATTTAAATCATGCAATTAAAAGATAAATTTCTTTTCATTTGTTTCTTTAAAAAACTTATTTATCTTCCTTTCATTAAGATTTGTTAGGGCCAGTTTGCTTTTTAGTGACAGAAATGATACATCAAATTTATATTTCAGAAAAATGGTTGCAGGTAATGTGTTAGTAAAGATTCAGTTGAATACCCAGTGACTAATTAGGAGATAGTTACAGAAATCCAAGTAATTGTAAAGACCTTTACTAAACACTAATGGAGCCTAGGGGACAAATTTGAGGGAACTAGCATCAGCTGCTGATTGATGACTACAGGCACAATGAAACACGAGTTTGTTCCTAGTGGAAATTATTTTAAAATCATAAATCCCTGAAGAGTTGTATGTGTTGCAACTACTGCTATAAGAGACTTTGAAACTTTCATAAGTAATTTTATTCTGAATATCTATTCAAAAGTCCTTCTAGCTTTGTGTTTCTAGAAGAAACAGTTTTGTGTTTTGTCTTTTTTTTTCTTTTTTTCCCTCTAAAGTAAAAATTGATCCATTTCTAACAATGGGTGACAGTTCACTATATTCTGCAATCCCAGTGGTATCAAATGATGTGAATATAAGTCATCAGAAACAGCCCTACAATCTTTGTGGTATTATTCAAGATTTTTCTTTGAATACACTTCAGAGGGTGTGTGTGTGTGTGTGTGTGTGTGTGTGTTGTGACTATCTGTATAACTGTCCATAAGAAATAATTTTACTTCTTATGAACCTAAGTATTGTAATTTAGAAAGAATTTATTCTGGATTTTTATACTCTCTCTTATTTGTAGTACTCCCCTATTTCTAAAAAACAAACTATTGTGTCATTTCAATGGTTTTGAACATAATAGATTTTAGAAATGTGCAGATATGCCTGCATCTTCATTGTTTTTGTATATTCATTATTAAAATGCTTCAAAGTTTGTGTAGGACTCTGTCTTTGGTTTTTGGAGTGTGTGGGTGGATGAGGTATAGGTGTCTTATATATGCTAGGCAAGTGTTCTACTGTGGAGCTCTATGTTGTCATCCTGGGGAGCAGTTTTAATAGTGGAGGGCCATCCTAATGATTGCTCTGTCTCTGAAAGACTATACTTTCCTGGGATTGTTTTATGTAAGACTCCTACCTCATACATAACTACTAAAATTCTCTCATGGTCTTATACCGTGTTAAGTCATTTTAGTTGAGAATTTCAGATTTCTTGTCTCTCAGAATATTTCATGGCAATATAAATAGAAACTGAAAAAAAGATCTTTAAATTTTCTATGAAAAATTTTACCAATACTTTCTCCCTTTATATATCAACTCTAAGTTGCTTTCACACTTTTTCAGTTATCATGTAATAATAACTGAGGAAGAGAGGAGAACAAAGTTCTCATCAACAGAAAAATAATATGCCATGGTCAGAAAATAAACTCACCACATTGCTAACAGTGTGGTATTTTTTTCTCTGAAATTTCCGCACAGAACAGGAAACATAGACAGCAAGCTTGAGTGGGTGGGTCTCTGAGGTTAAAACTGTTAATAAAGTAAAATGCCTGAAATTTAGTTTTAAATTCAAGACATTTAACGTACCCAGACAGTTTATAGTAGGTAAGTATGCTGGATTTTCAATTAATTTTTTTCCTTCTCTTAATAATTGATCCTAGTCTGTTCTCAGGACTTACTTTTAATCTAATATATGAGGAAAGATGCATCCTCCATTGTGAGGGACTGACTCTGCTGATATCCTGAGTTCAAGTCAAGAAGTTCTGTAACTTAAACTCATGATGATAGGAAGAAGTACCTGTGCATAAATTACTTTGACTTTACATTTAGAAAATGAAATTTGAGTACATTTTCTTGTTTGGTTGGTTGCTTGCTTGTTTGTTTTATCAGTAGCATCATGTCTCTTAGAAGATACCCATTGGTTTTAGAGTTATAAGAGATTAGACCAAACCAAGAGTATTTGACTGAAATACTGTAATGATTTAATGTATTAATATGATTTAGATTTAAGTATTTATTATTCATAAGTTAACAAACTTAGACTTAAGAGTCTAAAACTTTGCACTGAAAATGTAGACACTGTTAAGATATAAAACTGAAGTGATACGGAAGGATGTAAAGACCTTATTGCATTGGTGAATTTAGATATTGAATATAGATGATTAAATAATTTTACCAGTATAGGCCAGAATTAGCATTCCATGTCCCTGGTGACATGATTATTTTAATGTTTGCTGCTGTGGACATAATACACTGTGGAATACCATTTGCTGAGTGTTGCCGTTCTCTCAGGCCATTCTGTTTGTGTAGTCAATGTGTTACAAAGTAAATTTCAGTTTGTAACCGCAAATTAAACACATTGGATTTGGGTACCTATTGATCTTACTATTTGGATTGCTTAAATTTGCATTTATTTTGTGCCTTACCTAGTATTTTTTCTTAACTTATATAAAAGTACGTACATAGTACATGACAAGAAGGGAAAATTGTGGACAGTTTTTAAGGCAAAAATCTTCTAATAATCTAAAAAGCATACACAGTAATAAGTACAGTCTTTATTATTGGAAATCTGAAAATAAAATTCACAGAATGAAGACCTTTGAATATAATGGGCCAGCACTGAAAAGGTGTGTTTATTGCCTTTTATAAGATTTTTTAAATTTTGTATAATTTTGATCATATTCACCTTCTCTTTCCCAACTCTTCCTAGACTCACTCCTTACTTCTTTTACTCTCTAACTTTGAGTTTGTCATGATTTTTTTTTTTTTTTGCTTTGTTTTGTTTTCTCCATCAAGACCATGTTGGATGTATAGCCTTTCACTAGAGCATGGTAGCCTTAGCAGCTACACTGTTAAAGAAAACTGATCCTTTTAGAAAAAGCTAAGAACTTCCAGTAGCTCCTCAGCTGGGGTGGAATTTGGTCTGGCTTGGGCTTTGCTTTTTTGTTTGTTTGTTTGTTTGGTTGGTTTTTTTTTTTTTTTTTGGTTTTCGAGACAGATTTTTCTGTGGCTTTGGGGTCTGTCCTGGAACTTTGCTCTATAGACCAGGCTAGCCTTGAACTTACAGAGATACTCCTGCTTCTGCCTCCCGGCTAGGAATAAACCTGTGCGCCACTAGTGCCTGACTTACACAGCTTTTGTGTGTGCTGTCACAAGCACTTTGAGTTCATGTGTGTGGCTGCCCTGTTGCACTATTTTATACAAATAAGTATTTTAATGATCTGATTTTTGCAATGGTATGATGGTATCTGTTTTACTAGGATGTAACAAAAAATAGCATACATGATTTTTGTGGATCTTGAGGAATTTATTACTGAGATTAAAAACCACATTGGGTGACTTATTGTATGTTTTGTCACTCAATTCATTTAATTAACTTCCAGAATGTTTCTGCATATCATAAAGTACACCTTTATGTAGAAGAGTCTTTTGGGTAGTACTTGAATTTTCATATTAAAACTTGTCATTACTAATATTCCTAAAATTCTCAGGGTTTATGTCTCTGAATACAGTTATATCGTTTGCTCTGTGGCAAGCCACTTAATTCTGTTTTATTTATATGATAGCTGACAATAGATAATAAAACTTAACCTTTTGCACTAGAGAGATCACTCAGTGGATGGGATCCAGTGCTGCTCTTGCAGAGGACTAAAGTTTATTTCCCAGAATCATATCTGGCAGCTTCTCAGTGGCCTTCTGCTCCTGCTCCAGATCTGGTGCTTTCTTCTCGTCTCTGCAGACACCCATACTTACATGCATACACAACACACAATAACACATACACACAATTCAAAATAGAGTAAACCATAAGTTTTAAAAATGTTTTTATAAAAAGAAAGGGAAAGAAATTCCCTGGCCATAGTCTACATAAAATAAAAATATTATATATGCAGTATATAAAAATTATCTTTTTTGACCCTCTCCTCACTGAAGCAGAGGTTCAGAATTATAAGTTGTTGAGGAGAAAATGTGAGAATTGTTCAGTGCACCCCATGATAAACAGCATTCCAACTACTCCAGAATACAAATGATCAAAGACCTGTAACTTTGTAATTCAAAAAAATGTTTGGTAACAGGCTACTACTTTTCTTCTTTTTATTTCTTTTTTTAATATTCCTTGTTCTCTATCTTATTCTTCATAGCCCCATCTTTCTTTTTTTGTCATATAAAGCAAGTATAGCCTTTTTGAAATTATTTGATAAATACTATCAAAACAATTCATTTCTTATAAGCAAACTCTTTGAATATGATCTATTAGTGAATTTTAATGTTTGACTCATGTTATATAAAAACAAACTTCTTTATGTATTCAAATTTTTCTACAGATCTCCAAGTAAGCCTTTGGCACGAAAATTAATGGACTGGGAAGTAGTTAGCAGAAATTCGTTATCTGATGACAGGTTAGAAACACAAAGCCTCCCATCCCGGTCTCCACCTGGAACTCCCAATCAGTAAGTAGCAAGCCAACATTGTGCTTACATTATTTTCTGTTTTCAAATTATTGGTTACATATTTTATTGTGTAGAGATCATAATATATAAAAATTTAAGTCCTTTGATCAAATTTTCAAAGGAATAGTTTTATTGTATTTTATTTTGTATGTGTGTATGTGTGTGTTTATATGTGAGGGCATGTGCATATATGTAATAGTGGGCGTATAAGATTAGAAGACACTTGGGGGGCATCAATTCTTCCACTATATTGGTCCCCAGAATTGAAATCAGGTATTCATGTTTGATGGCAGATGCTTTACCTAACTAACTACCTCACCAGACCCAAACGTGGTTTTTGTTACTTCAGGCATTATTGCCTCTTTGCTTGCTACTCATTGCTAGAGTGTCCTACAATAGCTTTAGGGAATGAGTGAGTAGAAAATTGAAGGGCAGCCTTCACTTTCCTTTATAGCTGACTCTCATAGAAAGTGTAATCATGACTTTAAAATTTCATAGAGCTGTTGTTTATATAGTCCATTTCCACATAGATTACCACCTGGATTTTGTTTTGTTTTGTTCTGTTTTTTTGGTTTTTGAGACAGAGTTTGTCTGTGTTAACAGACCTGGCTGTCCTGGAACTCTCTATGTAGATTAGGCTGGCCCTGAATTCACATAGATCTGACTCCCTCTGCCTCTGCCTCCCAAGTGCTGTGATTAAAGGTGTGTGTCCCCACCTGGATTTCTAAAGGAGTGTAAATTATTTCAAAATGCTATGTTTGAGTGATTGCCATTCAGTGCTCTCGCATGTCCTGTGGCCTAGAAAAAGATTTCTAACTGTAGCCCCATAAGCTCAGGTAGAGCTGGGCCAAGAACCATGTGGTGCAGCTCCAACCATGAGTGTACCACAGTCTAGGGTTTCTCACAAAGCTGCCGGGTTTTGGTATAGATAATAAAGGAAGGGAAGACTTCCTCAGATATCCCATTCTAGAAGGAAAGGCAAGGGAGAGAGGATGTGATGGAAGGGGGCATAAAGGAATGAAGGAGTGTAAGAGGGGGTGATCTAAATAACAATAGCTCTGATTAAGTCTTCTAGGAAGTGAAATAATTTAAAGGAATGATCTGGGGGGTAAAAGTAAGTACAGCACAATGATTAAGCAGTGGCTTTAGAGTCAATGTTTAAATCTTGAAATCAATTTCCATACCATTTTCTCACCTGCAAAATCCTATTTGTAGGTGGACACAATGGCACATGCCTTTAATCCCAGCATTCTTGTTATAGGAAGTGTCCTGCAGTCTTAATATGCTGTTAAATTAGGTAATAAATGAAAATTACTTAGAAAAATGCTCAGTTATTAACTATTACAATTACTAATTATAATGGTGATACTTATGTAACTGCCAGTTAGGATAGTTGACTTTTTCATCATTTAGCCATAGGAATTCAAATTCCACAAATTTAAAACATTAAGAAAAAATAATTGAGACTAGAATCTATTTCTGAATATTTATTCTAGTCAATTTCATAAATGTTGAATACGGCATAAGATTAGTAGTTACTGAAACCTAATCACATTAGGTAAAGATAATAGTAGAATGGATAAAGGCCTTATGGCAGGTTGTAGACTGCAATCTCATCTTGACTTCCCATGTTGTGGTTTTTCTGTTTATATCACTGTCAGAGATTCTGCATAGTCAACATAGTCTTTAAAACATACACAAACATATACCTACTTTCTCATGAAACCATATAATCAAAAACATGGAAAACTCAAATTAAAATTTAGCCTTTGTTTCTCTTCATTTAGTCGGAATTCTGCATTCGCACAAGAAGGCACCCGGGTCCGGCCGTCTTCTGTTGGTCATTTAGTAGACCATGTGGTTCATACATCCCCCAGTGATGATTTTGTAAATCAGAGATCTCCATCTTCAACACAAGCTAATAGCATAGTTCTGGAATCATCACCGTAAGACCCCTTTTCTGTTTTTCTTCTTAAATCTTTATTTTCAAATACTTTAAATTGCTTCACTTGAAATAATCCTGGAAATTAGAGTACTTGATACAAAGTGCTACTTATATAATTATAAATACATATTTGTGAATGTATTTATTTGTTCTTGAAATATTTTGTTGCCTCTCTTCTCTTTACTCCTCTGGTTACTGACTATTCTTTAATTTTTAGTGTATACTCTCAAATATTTGTTCATTGTAGTCAGGCAGTAGGAGAATGTTAAGACAGTCATCTTAAAATTTTTTTAAAGCTGCCAATATATGTAAAAGTCTAGCCTTGGTAACTTATATTATTGTAAAAAAAGACATTTTGTATGTCTATATTATAAGGAATGGAAGACTATAACAAATATACCATACACAATGAAACATGCAAAAACTGAGTTGACAAGAGATAGACTTGATGGAAATTAAATATTTTATTACTTTGAAAATCATAACTAACTCTTTTGTTAGGTTTTGACAATCGTATTTTCTAATTTTGAAAATTTAAAGGGATGAATAAACCTTAAGACATAACCAAACAGTTCTATTTTTTATATTAATTATATACTTGAGTGGTTGCATGTATTTTCTAAACTGCCTATTTAACTTACCTTGAGCACTGATTAGTGTTTTAGTTACTTTTGTGCATAACTGATCGCATACTTGAGAGAACTACTTTAGATGTGCTTTAGTTTACGGTTTCATAGATTTCAATCTAGAGTCCTTGGCGGTTGATTCTGGGCCCATGGTAAAGCAGAATGTTATGGCAACAAGGGCATGCAGCAGAGACTTCTAACTCATAGTTGTCTAGAAGCAGAGAGAAATGCAGAGGGGACCAGGGACTAGGTACTTGCCAAGGACGTACCTTCAGTAACTACTGTCTGCCAGGTAGGTCCTACCTGCTGAATGAAGTTCCACAACCTCCCTACATAACTACTTCAAGCTAGGAACCAAATATTTAACACATGAACCTGAAAGGAGTATTTCATGTCCAAACTATAACAGTCATCTATATAAATGCAGTGTTTATTTAAAAGTCCTCTCAGCATCAGTATAAATCAGCCAAAGAGTCAAGAAACCTATATTTTAAGCCAAGATTTTATAATTTAAGTGAAGTTTCAGGTTAAATGACTGATAATAGCAGAGTTATCACTAGTGATGTGTTAAATGAGACATGATCTCCTGGCATATATCTTAGAAAATGAGAGTCATTAATAGAACTCCCTTTTGTGATCCAGGTTTATATTAGTATCTGTCTTTGAGGATAGCAGAGTAGCAGACAGCCTTGAGTGTCACTCTTTATATACTTTCTACCTTTTGTTTGAGATAGCACTGGTTCTGGAATACAGAAAACAGCGGCCTCTTGCTTTTATCCAGTGTTTAATAATTGATGATTCATACACATTCTTCCCAGAGCATCTAGATTTTCATTCTGAAAGTTCATGTTGTATATAATTTTCAAAATGTACTTGTTAACATTTTCTAAAAACAGTGAACAGTCCAAATATATGTTAGCCAAAACTGAACAAGCACTGTCCAGAACAATAATTTCTAATCAGAAGTACACTGGGGAACCTCCCCTCCCCCAGCTTTTAACTGTATATTTAGACTGTTTTAACCCATAGAAATGTGGATTTAATTGTTTTTTGCAAAGTCTCTCATATACATGCCGTCCCTCTCACATAGCTCAACACTGCTATATTATGCCCTATATCACCACTCAGATATTCCACAGCAGTCCATGCTTCAGTTGAGCCTGCTATGTATTTTGGTCAGAACAAGAATAAAAAAAAATTTTCTCTGACTCTATTGTCAGCTAATTTCAGCCTCACCACACCCTTTTCTTCCAAGCCTTTGGTTTTGAGGGTAAATTCTTCCTAAGTAAACAGCTGTTTGCAAGGCCAGAAAAATCTTAGGTTTGGGAGGAGCCATTTAATACCCACGTTTTAGACATTTGTGACTTTCTACCAAAGGATGTCTGTTTTAATTTACCTTCATTCCAATGCAGACCATGGTCCCAGGATCATAGAAATACTTCTCTAGACTAACAGTGCTTGAATACATTAGCCTTTAGAGGCTTATCTTCTTGGCTGGGATTAAAGGCATGAGCCACCAACACCGGGCAGTCAACAACTAGCCATCAGGGAACTACAGCCCAACACTGCATTGATATTCCATTTCATCCCAATCAGAACGATGATGATAAAAAATAACAAACAAACCAGCCAGTGGTGATACACTCTGGAGACAGAGGCAGGTGGGTCTTTGTGAATTTGACGCTAGCCTGCTCTACAGTGCTGCACAGAGAAACCCTGTCTCGAAAAAACAAAAAAAAAAAAAATCAAAAACAAAAGAACAAAAACCAAACAAGTGCTGGCAGTGTGAGGATTGCATAAAGGAACCCTTGTACTCTGTTAATGGCAATGTAAAGTAATGCTACAGAAAAAACATGAAAATAAAACTACCATATGATTCATCTTTAATACTGTTGGGAATCAGTGTTATCATACACTATAGATAACTGGAGATAACCCATATTCACTGGAGATATTCACAGCAGCTAAATTATGGCATCAGCCAAGGTGCCCATCAGAAGAATGGAGAATCAAAATGTGGACTATAGATACAATGAAGTATTGATTATTCAAGCATAGGAAAAAATGAAATCATGTTGTCTGAAGGAATTTGGATAGAATTAGAGATCATAGTGTTAAATAAGCCAGACCCAGAAAGAGAAATAAGTTTTCGGTCATGTGTGAAATCTTAGTTTAAAAGGAAGTTATTGAGAAAGGACTAAATGCAAGGAGGACATTAGCACATAAGGATAATGGAGAACAAATGTGATAAAATATATAATAGACATTGTATATATAAAAATACCATTATAAAACTTTGCTCTATTAATTTTTTGCAATTAATATATGCTAATTTTAATAGGAAAAAAGATTCCTGTTCCTGCTCTCTTTTTTTCCAAGCTCACTTTCATGGATGCCAGCATAATAGGATAGAAGTTGAACCTTAGGTTCTTCCTTCTGGCCCTTATGGAAAACTACAAGTTATGTTCTATAGATTGTTCTTAAAAGTTATAATTTCTACCTTGAAATCTCTCCCAAATACCTATCAGTTCCTGTTGCCACAAATTAGAATTATACTTTTTAATATAATTTATAACAAGACTCCATGCAGTTTTGTCTTATCAATGATGACCTTAATATTCTAATCTTTATCACATGATTGCATTTATTAGCCTCATGAGCCCTGGTAAAGGAGGACTATCATTTAAAATCATTAGACTATACCTACCAGGAGGCTTTTTTTTTCTTTTGTTCAACACCCAATTCTCAGGTTTTTTCTTTTATTTCGAGCTTATAAGTACATCATTTCTCCTTCTATTTCCTCCTTCAAAACCCTCTCACAACCCCCCCTCTTGCTCTCTTTCAAGTTCATGGCCTCTTTTGCATTAATTTTTACATACATGGGTGTTCATATATATTTATTTATACAAATAAATAAATAGCCTGGACTGTCTGTTACTGGTCTATGCGCTTTCAGGGCTGACCATTTGGTATTGGATAAATAATTGGTGTGCTCTTCCCTAGAAGAGTATTTCTCCTTCTCTCAGCATTGCTTAGTTACCTGTCGTTTTTTGTGTAGAGTTCGGGCCTTGTGAGCTTTTCCCCTTCCTCTTTGTATGACTGCTGTAGTTGTCCTTGTTCAGCTCATGTATAGGCAGCCATGTTGGTGAGACTTTATGGATGTGGCTTCTGATGTTACTAGGAGATATAGTCTCACAGAACTCCCTGATCCTCTCTGGCTCTTTGCACCTCACTTTCTGCAATGGTCCCTGTGCCTTAGGTGCAGAGGTAATTATGTAGATGTATCCTTTGGGACTAGACTCCACAGTTTTGATTAGTTTTTTTTTCTGTAATGGCCTCTGTTTGTTACAAAGAGTTGCTTGATGAGGGATGAGAACTACACCTATATGTGTGTATAAGGGCAAATATTTAGAGTGTAGTTAGGAATTAGACTATTTTAGTAAAGTTTTGCTTATAAGTTCCTGTCCAAAATTCATGAGTCCATTCGCCATGGGTAATTGGCTAGTTTTCTAGAAAGTACCTATCATGATTTCATTCTTGTTGAGTGGATCTTAAGTCTAGTTAGAAAGCTGTTGGTTACTACTAAGGTATGTGTGCCACTAAATACCCTTAGGGTTATTCTGTGGTTCACAGGTGCTGTAATTAGGTAGGACTATCTCTTTATTGGTTTGACTTTTAAAAAATTTACTACTTTAAAATAATTTTTTTAAATTAAAAGGTAGCATTTCCAAGCAAATATATTCAAAGCCTCTCCACACTAGTCATGTTTGGTATTTGGATTGCTTGACCTAATTTAGAATAAGGTATTTCCAGCCGGGCGGTGGTGGCGCACGCCTTTAATCCCAGCACTCGGGAGGCAGAGGCAGGCAGATCTCTGTGAGTTCATGGCCGGGCTGGACCGACAGCCTCCAAAACAATACAGAGAAACCCTGTCTCATAAAAAAATAAATAAAAAATAAAAAAAAAGAATAAGGTATTTCCAGCAGATGACTACTAAAAATATTAATTTCTCCTTCTTTTTTTTAACCTAGATCACAAGAGACCCCTGAAGATGGGCAGCCTCCAGCTTTACCACCCAAACAATCTAAGAAAAACAGTTGGAACCAAATTCATTTTTCCCGCTCTCAGCAAGATCTAGTCAACCAGAGTAATGAAACCTTTGATGTGCCCTCTTCCCCTGAAAAGTCCACTGTAGGTAGTCTCACTTCCTTTTGAATTTTTAAAATCTTGAATAGCATGATTTAGGTATAAATTATAATAGTCTTTTTTTTTTTCTGGTTCTTTGATCATGATTTATACCACTATGGAGTTACCTTTTTCTTTATTTGTAAAGTACCTATTGCTTTGAGTTAATGTCTTAACAAATTAGTTGTAATTTCAGTATACAATATATACATATGCTTCTGGAACAAATGCTAATAATTCAGTAAATACTCATTTTACTATGTAATTTCTTAGTGTAGATATATCTCCCAACCTTTTAAAATTGAGTACAGATTCTAATAGTGTATGTGCACTCTACATTTTACAAAATAATTTATAACTTTTGCTTCTCCAGAATATGCTTTTATATAATAAATGATGAGTTCTTAGAATCTTAATGATTTATTAATTTTATTTCTCAAGAAGATTTAAATAAGCCATAAGTGAGGTTACCAGTTAAGAATACACTGTATTCCTAAAAATGCAATCACAGTCATATGCAGATATGTTTCAGGAAATTTAAAGAGACATTAGAAAATTAAATGAGATGCAAAAGGGAAATTTCATCCATAGTAGACATCACCTAGCATCTAGTATCAAAGGCCTTTGGCAGTTACTGTACTCCCTGCCTTCTTGGTTATTTACTCAGAGCCTTTTCCATTACCAAAAGTTGAAACCATTCTATTTTTTCATGAGTACTGTTCCACTACAATAGACCTAATCAACAAAAAAGGCGACTCTAGTGCTAACTCAATGGTGATGTTTATGTGTCTCTTCTTGCATGCATTGATTTGTTCATGGTTACTGAACTTGTATTTTGATGGAGGTGGCTATGCAAAGATAATTAACACATGGCAGTTGTTATATAACTAACAGTCTAGTTTGTTTCTTTCAAAAATATTTAGTAAAGGCTAGAAGATAGCTTGGTTGGTTAAGTGCTAGCTACACAGGCACTAGGAATGTATAGATAGGTGGATCCTTGGGGGCTCATTGGCCAACCTGCTTATTAGCCCTACATGGTAAGTCCCTGCTACTAGTGAGAGATGCTCTCAAAAAACAAGATGGACAGCACCTCAGAAATGCTACCCAACATTGCCCTCCTGCCTCCAGAATTAGGCTCACATACCTATATACACACCTGCAAACACATTTGCCAGTAGGATAGAAGGAAGAATGAAAGAATCCATCTTCAAGTTATTAGGCAAAGAAACTTACTTTCCCTAACAAACGGTTTTCTTAGAATTTTATTTATATACCATTTGATAATACAAGAAGATAAAATATGTACTATATAATCTGAAAATTCTTTATTTTTGTCTTTTCAGCCTAATGGTGGCATTCCACATGATAATCTTGTTCTAATCAAAATGAAACCTGATGAAAATGGAAGGTTTGGGTTCAATGTAAAGGTAATGTGGAATTTGTCATATTTAGTTTTTAAATTAGGATGTTATCAGTTTGGTAGTATTTGACTTTTTTGTGTGTTTTCCAGGGAGGATATGATCAGAAGATGCCTGTAATTGTGTCCCGAGTAGCACCAGGAACACCTGTAAGTTATCCAAATTTTTATGTAAATACTGTTTTTAAGAATACATACTTTGAGCCGTGTGTTGGTGGCACACACCTTTAATCCCAGCACTCAGGAGGCAGAGGCAGGAGGATCTCTGTGAGTTCGAGGCCAGTCTGGTCTACAGAGTGAGTTCCAGGACAGCCTCCAAAACAATACAGAGAAACCCTGTTTCGAAAAACTAAAAAAAAAAAAAAAAAGAATATATACTTTGGGAACAGATGGTGGTGGCACATACTTTTAATCCTTGCACTTGGGAGGCAGAGGCAGATGGATCTCAGTAAGTTCCAGGCCACAAGGCCAGCCTGACCTACAGAGCAAGTTCCAGTACAGCCAGAGCAACAGAGAAAGAAACCTTGTCTCAAACTTGAATAACCAAAAAAATAAAAAGGATATGTATATATTTTGGAGCCAGGTGTGATGGTTGCCTGCCTTTAATCCCAGCACTCAGGAGACAGAAGCAGGCAGATCTCCATTGAGTTCAAGGCTAGCTTGGTCTACTCAGAAAGTTCCAGACCAACCAAAGCTGAAAATAAACAGACACAACAAAGATGTACTTTCTAAAATATTTCATGTATATGAGTGTTTTGTTCGCATTTATGTCTGTGCACCTTCTGTGTGTGTAGTGCCCTCAGAGGTCAGAATGCAGTATAGCATCCCCATGGAACTCGAGTTTTGACCAGTTGTGAGTTACAATATGGGTCTCATGTTTCATAGAACATGTTATTCATACTTCTGTTTCTTTTATCTCCTTTATCTTTTTAATTTTTAAATTTTATGTGCATTGGTGTTTTGCCTTCATGTAAGTCTGTGTGAGGGTGTTGGATCCTGGAGTTGCAGACAGTTGTGAGCTGCCACATGGGTACTGGGAATTAAACCCTGATCCTCTGAAAAAGCACTCAGTGCTATTAACTGCTGAGTCATCTCTCCAGCCCTGTCTCCTTCATCTTAATTACTGGCTGATTTTTCTCAGTATTCAGGCAATCCTTATTGCAGTAGTGCAGAACTGTAAAGATGGCCATGCAAGGTAAAATCATGCAATGATCTGGTAACCAATTGGAAAAATTAGACTGTTTTAGTGACTTTTAGATCTAATTTCTATACTTTAAAGTCTTGTGCCGTCTGCTACAAAAATAGTGAGGGATGCAAAAAATGTGTTCCATAGTCCAAAACATCAGAAATACTGAAAAGTAATATTTCAATTATTTATGAATACTTACTGCAAGTAGTTTGAATAGTATGCTATAAAATTGGTAATACAGAATGAGTCTCTTACCTTACATTAGTGAAGTGTCATAATCCTCTACATTTAAATCTGCTTCCAATGTTTTGTCCTTTGAAACCTTGGTGGAAGTAACTCAAGTCCCTTTGACTATTTACCTAGAGCCCCAGACAGCTGAAATGCTCACATTTCCATCATCATGTCTTCTCAGGTCAAAGTACACTTCTGGGGTCCACCATGTTTTGTTCCTTTTCTGGTTCCTTTTTTAGATTATTGTATGGTTTTCCACTGAAAATCAAGAAGCACAGCCGTGTGCTTTGGTTCCTGGTCACAAACTAATGGAAATGCTTTGACAAGTGTGATGTGTTCCTTCTTGGTCTTTTAAGATATTCTTTGAAGGCAATAATGGTAGCCACCAATCTCATTATAGGGGAAGGGCAGTTAAGATACTCTCTCCAATATTGCTTAGATTCTTATGGATTCCTCCCTAGTGCCAGGTTTCTTGTTAACCCCATAATGGCTCCCTCTATAAATATGTCTCTTTCCTTGCTCTCCCTCTGTACTTCCCCCAACTCAACCTTCCTGATCCTTCATTTTCTCCTTACCTTTTCTCTCTCTCTCTCTCTCTCTCTCTCTCTCTCTCTCTCTCTCTCTCTCTCTCTCTCTCTCTCTCTCTCTCTCTCTCTCTCTTATCTACCCTATCTCTCCTATATCCCTATCCTTCCCCCCTTTCCCCATGCTCCTCATTTACTCAGCAGATCTTGTTTATTTCTTCTTCTTGGTGTTGGTGGGGGCAGACAGTGAAAAATATGTATGTATCTCTTAGGGTTCTCCTTGTTTCCTAGTTTCTTTGGGGTTGTGGATTGTAGGTTGGTTATCCTTTGCTTTATATCTGATATCCACTTATGAGTGAGTATATACACTGTCTTTCTGTGTCTGGGTTTCCTCACTCAGGATTGTTTCTTCTAGTTCCATTCATTTGCCTTCGAATTTCAAGATGTCATTGTTTTTTTTACCACTGAATAGTACTCCATTGTATAATTAAGTAGCACATAATTGCCATCCTAGAGCCTTCATCCTGTAACTGATGGAAGCAGAAGCAGAGATCCATAGCTAAGCACTGGGTTAAACTCCTAGAGTCCAGTTGTAGAGGGAGGAGTGATAATATGAACACAGGGGTCAAGACCATGTTAGGGAAACCCACAGAAACAGTTGACCAGACCAAGTGGGAACTCACTGACTCCAGATTGACAGCTGGGGAACCTGCATGAGACCGAACTAGGCCACTTGAATGCGGGTGTCAGTTTGGGGGGCTTGGGCAGTCTGTGGAGCTGCTGGCAGTAGAACTAGTATTTATCCCTAGTGGATGAACTGGCTTTTTGGAGCACATTACCTATGGAAGGTACCTTGCTCAGCCTAGATACAGTGGGGAGGGCCTCAGTCCTGACACAAATGATGTGACAGACTTTGTTAATTCCCTATGGGAGGCCTCACCCTCTGAAGAGTAGATGGGTGGGTGGAGATGGTAGGGGTAGTAGGAGGACTGGAAGAAGAGGAAACTGGAATTAGTATGTAAAATAAGATTGTTTTAAAATTCAAAAAAGAAAAATATATATTCTTTGAAATTCATTTTTGTTTTATATGTATAGATATTTTGCCTGCATGTATGTCTGTGCACTGTATGCCAACAGTCCCTGTGGAGGCCAGAAGAGGGAATCTGATTGCCTCTTAGAACTGGAGGGACAGAGGGCTTTAGTCTCTCTGTAACTAACTGGGTTTTTTGTTGTTGGTTTGGTTTGGTTTGGTTTGGTTTTTCAAGACAGGGTTTCTCTGTGGCTTTGAAGGCTGTTCTCAAACTCACAGAAATGCGCCTGTCTCTGCCTCCCCAAGTGCTGTGATTAAAGGCGTGCACCATCACCTACCGGCAACTAACTGGTTTTTAACTTCTCTGTAACCACACTTAGTATGGGTGCTAGAAAGTGAACCTGGGTCCTCTGGAAGAGCAGGCAATGCTGTTAACCACTGAGCCATCTCCAGCCCCAGTGCTTGGTTTTAAGATAATGATTTTTGGATTGTAATACTAGCAGTAAATGTATACTTTATGCAGTAATTCACAGTGTTTCTGAAAACTAAAATTTGGAGGATGTCATTCAGAAACTGTTATTTAAGCTGTGGGAACTAAGATTGTGTATATTTAAACAGTACAAAATTAAGGCTTCTTGTATGTATGTATTTTGACATGTTTTCTGAATCTCTATGAACATGACCTGCCATAAGGAAGGAATTTGTTCAGTGAAGCTGTAAGGCTTTTCAAATAGATGAAAGTGTGTGTGTGTGTGTGTGTGTGTGTGTGTGTAAACCAGAGGAGGCTGGCATCTTCCTCAATCACTTTATACCTTGTCACCTTAGTTTTTCAGTAAACCTGGAGCTCCCTGATTGGCTATATTGGCTAGCCAGCAAGCTTCAGGGACTCTGTTCTGCCTTTCCAATACAGGGATCACAGGTTTATACTGCAGTACTTGATGTTCATGTGCTTTCTGGGGCTTGAGAATCAGGCCCTTATGCTTGCTTAGCCAGCACTTTACTGACTGAGCCATCATGCTAATCTTTCATGGATGCTTTGCTATGTGTAGTTTTAGTTCTGCGATAGTGTATAAAAAGTAAACTTCTGTATTTTCAGGATACCATGTGCATATTTGAACACTTAACCTACATTGTATTATAGGCTGACCTATGTGTCCCTCGATTGAATGAAGGGGACCAAGTGGTACTGATTAATGGTCGGGACATTGCAGAACATACCCATGATCAAGTAGTCTTGCTTATTAAAACTAGCTGTGAGAGACATTCTGGGGAACTTGTGCTTCTAGTTCGACCTAATGGTAAGTACTCTATTTAGCACTATTTGTCATAATTTGTTAGTTTATTACTGGCCATGGTAGCCAGAGTAGGCTTCTTTAAACATGTCGTGCTGGTTCTTATTCAAATGACAGTGACATCTATTATTCTTAGGGAAAAAATCCAAAATATTGGTTCCCTTATCTCCTATTCATACTATATTCACTTATATTGGATCAACATAATAAAAATGGCAATCTTGCCAAAAGCAGTCTACAGATTCAATGCAATCCCTATCAAAATTCCATCACAATTCTTCAAGGACCTGGAAAGAACATTAATCAACTTTATATGGGAAAACAAAAGGCCCAGGATAGCCAAAACAACCCTATACAATAAAGGAACCTCAGGAGGCATCACCATACCTGACTTCAAGCTCTATTATAGAGCTATAGTCCAGAAAACAGCTTGGTATTGGCACAAAAATAGGCAGGTTGACCAATGGAACCAAATTGAACCCACACACCTATGAACACTTGATTTTTGACAAAGAAGCTAAAACTATACAATGGAAAAAAGAAAGCATCTTCAACAAATGGTGCTGGCATAACTGGGTACTTGTATGCAGAAGACTGCAGATAGATTCATGTTTATCACCTTGTACAAAACTTAAGTCCAAATGGATCAAAGATCTCAACATAAATCCAGCCACACTGAAACTCTTAGAAGAGAAAGTGGAAGATACTCTTCAACAAGTTGGTACAGGAGACCACTTCCTGAACATAACACCAGTAGCACAGACACTGAGACCGACAATTAACAAATGGGACCTCATTAAACTAAAAAGCTCTGTAAGGCAAAGGACACAGTCAACAAGACAAAAAGGCAGTCCACAGAATGGGAAAAGATATTCACTAACCCCACATCTGACAGAGAGCTAATCTTCAAAATATACAAGGAATTCATGAAGCAAGTCTCCAAAGCACCAAAGGATCCAATTAAAAGGTGGGGTACAGAACTAAACAGAGAATTCTCAATAGAGGAGGCTAAAATGGCCAAGAGATACTTAAGAAAGTGTTCAACATCCTTAGCCATCAGGGAAATGCAAATCAAAACAACTTTATCTTACTCCTGTCAGAATGGCTAAAATCAAAAACACCGAAGACAATTTATGATGGAGAGGATGTGGAGAGAGGGGAACACTCCTCCACTGCTGGTGGGAGTGCCAACTCGTACAGCCACTTTGGAAATCAGTATGGAGATTCCTCAGGATAATGGGAATCAATCTACCACAAGACCCAGCAATTCCACTCTTAGGCATATATCCAAAAGAGGCAAATTCATACAACAAGGGCATCTGCTCCACTATGTTCATAACAGCATTATTTGTAATAGCCAGAACCTGGAAGCAACCTAGATGCCCCTTAACTGAACAGTCGGCTAACAGTTCTTGGTTTTGATGTAACACATGTTCTTGTGTCATTTAGGAAAGCTTTCTCTGCTTATTCTACCATACCTAAAGTGGCTTTCCTCTTCAGCCATTCTAATAGTAGTGTTATGTAGTCAGTAAGTATTTATGTAATGAACAAGAAAATCTCACTGAGTGTTGATACACACCTTTAATCCTAGCACTCGGGAGACAGAGGCAGGCAGATCTCTCTGTGTTCACAGCAAGTTCCAGGCCAGCCAGGACTACACAGAGAAAGAGAAATCCACTAACCCACCCACCTCTGTAGTCCTGCCTCATTTTCTTAATGTCTCTTCAAATTTTAAGCCATTCTTGGTTCGTATACAATGGCATCATCAGATCTAGAGGAATTATTGATAGCTGAATCTATAGAAAATACCTAGTAATTGTTTACTGAATTCTATTAAGATTCTCGTGTATGTGTTTTGTTTTATTTTAGCTGTATATGATGTAGTAGAAGAAAAACTGGAAAGTGAGCCAGACTTCCAGTATATTCCTGAGAAAGCCCCATTAGATAATGTCCATCAAGATGACCATTCCCTGCGGGAGTCAATGATTCAGCTAGCTGAGGGGCTTATCACTGGAACAGTACTGGCACAGTTTGATGTAAGTGATATCATTATATTAAAATAATATTTGCTAATTAGTTTGAGTGTGGTAAGAGCCTAACCTTATCATTTATAAGGTAAAATGATAGCTTTCGAACTGGTTGACATCAAAAGCTCTAAAATGTAGTTTTAAAATTTATTCTCATAATACTAGTTATGACTATATATAAATAAGTGTCTTTTTGAAAAAAGTATAAGAGTCAGGGATAGTGGCTTATACCTGTAATCTCAATAAAACTGAGTCAGGAAGATGTTCCTGAGTTCAAGGTCAGTCCAGAATAGTGAGTGAGACCCCTCTCAAAATTTAAGAGTAGTAAAGACATCTTAAGTGGTTTTCCTTATAATTTACTAGCTCTTTTAATGAAAGGTAGAAGATAAGGTTAGTGTGATGTATACTTAAAGCTTGAGCAAAGCCAAATGTGACGGCACACATCATTTATTGCTCTCATATCTGCAGCAATGCAGTTTTCTCTGAGCTTGAGGCCATCCTGGGCTTGATGTAGCAAAAGGCCTCATCTCAAAAAATAAAATAAAAATAAACAAAACCCCCAAGTTAAAGAAAATAACTGGTATTTTAAGTTCATATTTTGTCTTATTTAGCCTTTCTTTAGTTTTATCTGTAAGTCTTAAAACTCCTCAGATCATTGTCTCAGAAGAACAAGAACATTTCTTCACTCCTAATCTTTATTTTTATTAGTGAGTATTTTGAAAGTCAGTATTTAAAACAGACTTTTCCAGCCTGTGCCTCACAGGCTGTGTACATTCAGGATAGTTATTTTATAAATCCACTCGAACACATTTGTAGATGGTACTATCCTATCATAGTGAACTTAAATTATCTTTACTAAAACTAGGAATTTTCTATGTGTGTAAAAAAATAGTCATCAATATTTGCCATTCTCTAGTATATATCGTATATAAGTGCTTAAAATAAAACATACAAAACATGTATCTTTTCTTTAAAAATAATCTCAGTTTGCGTACTGTGAGTACTTCTAAAATAAAGTCAAATGTTCTCTGCAGATTTGCTATTCAAATATCAGGTATTTTGATCACAAACCTGTTTTCAGATTTTTCAGAATATCATAGATATATAATGTGTGTCAAAAGTTGCAGAACTGATACAGTTCTGGGTCAGTACTCTACTTTTTTGAAGTGTACCATAGTGTGTGCAGTATGGGGATAGGGTTTCCTGTTAGAATAGAGGCGGATCTGAAAAACAAAAAGCAGAATTATTGATAACTTATTGGACTATTTCTGTTTGTTTGTTTTTAAAGCAACTGTATCGGAAAAAACCTGGAATGACAATGACTTGTGCCAAATTACCTCAGAACATTTCCAAAAATAGATACAGAGATATTTCGCCTTGTAAGTATCTATTAACTCTTACCATCATTAGCTTAATCTTTTAAATAAAACTTTATTAAAGATTTTTATGGTCAGAGTGTAAATTAATGTTTGAACATTGTGCTTATCATATGCCAAGTCTGTTGGTTTAATCTGAAATATCTAAACAAAAAAGAAATCCATTGTTTCTTTTAAAATTTTTTAGATGATGCTACACGGGTCCTTTTAAAAGGTAATGAAGACTACATCAATGCAAACTATATAAATGTAAGTTTTTTGTTTTGCTTTTGTTATTTGAAATAAATGAAACCATTGTAAATTTTAAGGTTAATTCTTTTTTATTGAAGGCCTAACTTTGATAGAATATTAAAATTTGAAGATGGGAATATTTTATCAAATTAATGTTTTTAAAAAAAGATAAGGCAGGACCAGTTGGTGATGCTTTTAATCCCAGCACTCAGGAGGCTAAGGGAGATGGATTTCTGTGAGTTCAAGGCCAGCCTAAGTCTATAAGAGCAAGTTACTGGATAGCCAATACTACACAGAGAGATCCTATCTTGAAAAATAAAACAAACAAAAATATTAAACCAGGTGTGGCAGCACATACTTTTAATCCCAGCATTCAGGAGGCAGGACAAGAGGATCTCTGTGAGTTCAGCGCCAACCTGATACACATAGAAAGCTCTAGGTCAGGTCAGCCAGACCTTCACAGTGGGTCCTTGTCCACCTCTCACTCTCCCCAAGAAAGCTAAATTAATTTGGTACTGCTATATTAATATGTAGTTAGAACAGTACAGTAGAATAATCAACTCCAGAAATAGAATAATATATTATTACTATAATACTACTGTAGGCTCAGGTTATGGTAGTGGCAGCCTTTTAAATCACTAGAGATAAAAACAACCTATTTGGTTAGTTATTTGGGTCATCTTCCCAAAATGTAACATTGTAAGGGATTAGTTCCCCCCAACTAATGAAGGAAAAGATCACTTTCCTTAATTTCATAATATAGAAATTTTTAAATGTATAGAATTGGAGCAGAAAGTGAAATGAAGGAACTGGAGAGATGCCTGAGCATTGGCTGCTTCTGCAGAGGACTAGAGTTCAGTTCCTAGCACCCACACTGGGCCTCCCACAGCCACCTGTAACTTCAGCTCCAAGGGATCCGGAGCCCTCCTTTAACCTCTACATGCTCCTACATATGCACGCACATGTGCGAGCACACGCACACACACACACACACACACACACACACACACACACACTCAAGTGTGTATGTATAAGAGAGAGAGCAGAGAGAGAAATGGGTTGGTTATGGGGAGGTTGGTTTGTTTTTTTGTACTGTAAAATCAACCTTTACATACACATCACTTAACTTTGACCATTGAACTCGTGGACAGTATTATTTCCCTATGTTCCCACATCTAGATTGTTACATAGCATAATTGTACACCACTTTCTCATCTGTAAGTACTTTGCCTATTCAACTTTGATGGAGACATCTGTTGAAAATGTATCATTATATAAGTTTGAAAAATGGAGTCATAAAAAATATGTGACAGTTATTAAGTATTTCAGATGGGGAAGAACTTTGTTAAGTTGGATGGATATATGCCTAAGCTACATTGATGTATGTAGTCTCTGCATTTGAGACTGAGGATCCCTCGAGTTCAAGATTTCAAAACTAGTCAAGGCAGCACAGCAAGACCTCATCTCCAAAGGACAGTTTTGTCACATTCTATCAGCTAATCAATGTGAAATTCACTCAAAAACTTTAAATAATGATGGTAGTGAAAAATCTTTATATTTGGTACATTAAGGGTACTAAGATCAAATGACAGTCTGGATTTTTTAAATGCTGTCCAGTTTAAATTTTACACATAGGCTGGGCCTATAAGCACACATGTAAGTTCATAACTAATGGGACTACAAAGCAAGATACTCTGTCTCAATTAAAGCAAAATGGATGTAAGGCAGGAGGGGAAATGTAAGCATCATTGAACATTGTAAACTACTTGGCTATTTTCAAATGTCTATAAAAAAGAGAGAAAAGTATGAGGACTCTCTAGTGTATCTGTTACCTAACTTTAAAATCTGTCCATAAGTGGCTAATATTATTTAAGTGATTCCCTATAAATTATTTTTAAGGCAAAATATATCACCTTATATGTATGAACAATTAATTCTCACTATTAGAAATAGTATAGATTCTTTCTACAAAGTTTGTACGAATGATGAAATAGGGAGTAATGAATCATTATTCTAGAGTAAATAGCTTTTAAAAGTGTATAGTCACACTTTCATCAGGCAGTCAATACATAATTACATTAAAAACTTATTTGGGGGAAGGCAGGCTTTTGAGACAGGGTTTTTGTGTGGCTTTGGAGGCTGTCCTGGAACTAGCTCTTGTTGACCAGGCTGGCCTCGAACTCACAGAGATTCGACTGCCTCTGCCTCCTGAGTGCTGGGATTAAAGGTGTGCGCCATGACCTCCCGGCTCAAAGACTTATTTAATATTAACACTGCTGATTTGTTCACTTTGAATGTATATCCAGTGGCATTGAAGTGTAACTCATGTCTGAAGAAATTTATACTTTCTCCATAATGGATAAATATCACAGCCTTCTTGCACGTCAGAACACTAGACAGCACTTCATCACTGTGATTGTAAATGGTGTAATTACTCACAATAAACAGAAAAATGTGAAGTATATGGTATTAAACAGTACTGGTGCTGCTTGTGGGCAGTATAGGAGGGTAACAAGCAGAGTTGCCTTATTTGGTGTTAGTTGGAGCATGCTTATCCAGTGACTCAAATTATTTATTGCCTTCTAGTATGCCTACAAATGACCAGCAAAGCTCTCCCCGTGTTCTGAAGTTACATAGGAAATTTAACAGTTATGAAGTTAGAGAGATGTCAGAGCAGTTAAGCTTGCTGTACAGTCATGAAGACTAGAGTTAAGATTCTAACACCTACTCACTAACAAGATGGGTGTCCTTTAACCCTGTTTCTGAGGTGTCAGAGTTAGGAGGATTGTTGGGGCTTGCTGGCATCTATCAGAATACTAGACTCGAGCTCCAGGTGCAAGGAGAGAGCCTTCTAGAATCAAAGGTGCAGGAAGAGAGTGATATAAGATGACACACAACTCCTCCTCTGGCCTTAAATAATGACTTGTGAGGTTGTTCTTTTTCTTCTTTCTTTCTTTTTTTTTTTTTTCAAGCAAACCCAGAGCTAGAGAAATATCTCAGTGGAAGAGCACTGCCTGCTCTTCTGAAAGGATCTAGGCTCAATTCCCAGCACCCACATGGAAGCTGACAACTGTCTGTAACTCCAGTTCCAGGGAATCTGACACCCTCACACAGACAGACAGACAGACAGACAGACATGCAGGCAAAACACCAGTCACATTTAAAACAAAACCAAACTATAATACCACTATAAAACTTAGAAAAATAATATTACAATTAAATGAAAGTATACTCAATTTTCAAAACCAAGTACAAATGTAAACTACATAGAAGTACTATTATTTACCTATGAAACTGAAAGACCAAAAATTTGATGATAACATATGCAAGTTCAGTACTTTATCTGAAGCCTTAGGTTCAAGTATGTTCTGGGGTTCACAATTTTTAGATTATTTTTTTAAAGAATTTTCAGTTATGCCCAGTGGTGGTGGTGGTGCATGCCTTTAATCTAGCACTCAGGAGGCAGAGGCAGGTGGATCTCTGAGAGTTTGAGGCCAGCCTGATCTACAGAGCAAGTTCCAGGACAGCCTCCAAAAGCTACAGAGAAACACTGTCTTGAAAAACTTAAAAAAAAAAAAAAGGGGGAGAATATTCAGTTCATGTACCAATCCTGTAGGAAGAAGTAATGTCCCTAGCAGGATATGGGATAAGGACACTGTAATTTTTATATTGATATTATATAAACATTCTGAGTCAACCAAATAGAGTATAAATAACCTTTAGGTCAATCAAAGTCAGATTTTGCTGTCAAATGCTTTCAAGTAAGGTCAAATTTAAAATGCCTTCAAGTCAGGATAAGTTTCCAAACACCAAAAGCAGTTTTGCATTTCATACTGTTGGTATTTTCAGAACTATAGATAAGGGATTATAGTTATAAAAGCAAGTACCAATGGAAATACATTGCTGTGTGTTGTTGGTTGAAGTGTAGGTAGGTAGGTAAAACTCTGGAGAAAGGTACGGTATTGTCAGAATTTGAAGTATGCATAAATTTTGATGCAGCATTCTTATTTCTTCCTGTTGCAGATAGGACCTTTTTAAAGGTTTATTTATTATGTATACAGTATTCTACCTGCATGTATGCCTGCAGGTGAGAAGAGGGCACCAGATCTCATTACAGATTGTTGTGAGCCATCATGTGGTTGCTGGGAATTGAACTCAGGACCTCTGGAAGAGCTGTTAGTGTTCTTAACCACTGAGCCATCTCTCCAGCCCAGATAGGAGCATTTTTACAAATTGCTACAAAATGTCAAGTTCAGAGAAGTATTCAGTTTAACATTCTTACTGCTTACAAACATATTAACATTGTGCCTTAAATGTCTTTTAAATAAATTAATTTTTTTAAGAATGGCCATTAAAAGAAAGAAATTTAGGTACTAATTTTTGGCATTATCTTTCAAACAATAGGACTGTGTATACTGTGCTATCATTTTAAAGATTGTTATATAGAAAAATATTTGTTGTGTACAGACTGTGAGAGAGGTGCTAGAAACTAGAAAAACAAATTACCTTCTGGTGATAACTGGAAGCTGGTTTGAGGGGGAGCCTTCAAGTGTACACCATTTGGTACTCTCTAAATTTCTATGTGGTATCACCTTGTTAAAATAAACCTCAGATGTAGCTCAATTGTGATTCCCCAGGTTTTTTTTTTCATCTTATTTCATTCCATAAACAATTTTAAACATCATTCTAATAGCTCTTCACATTGTTTTATGAGCATAATGCAGCTAAAATGCAAAATTTCTCTTAGAAAATTTACCAATAAACTATTTATAGATGCTTTAAAAAATTTTTCCTTGCAAACTTTCTGCCTCTAAAGTAAATTTCTCTGTAAAGCTGTCCTATAAGTCATAGTGGTACCAGATATGGTCATACTTTCCTATAATATATGTGAGGCTGTGATACATAATGAGACCTTTTCCGCCCCCCCCCCAAAAAAGAAGAAGAAGAAGGAAGGAAGAGGAAGAAAGTATTTGGGAATTTTTTTTAATTCTTCTTTCCACCACTTAAATGTATGACTTTGGACATTGCTAGGAAATTCTTTTACCAATAAAATTATTAACAAAGATTATTGTACAAATCAGTTTATTGAGATTAGTTGTGTTCACTTTAACATTAATGGATGTTTTTCATCTTCCCAATCACAGTAAAAAGTCAAAATGCAAAAATTTTAATGTCTTTTTCTTTTTAGATGGAAATTCCTTCTTCAAGTATTATAAATCAGTACATTGCTTGTCAAGGGCCATTACCACACACTTGTAAAGATTTTTGGCAAATGACTTGGGAACAAGGCTCCTCCATGGTTGTGATGTTGACCACACAAGTTGAACGTGGCAGAGTAAGCTGTAGTTGAGTCTTATCCATTACTTGAACTCTTTCCAAATTACATTGTGTTTATGTACTCAGAATATTTTTTGTAGCCTTTAATCTCTTCTTGTGGTTCCATGCTTGCTTTGAATTATTACAGCTAAATACTTCAGACTGTGCCTAACACAATATATACATGTAATAGAAATGCCATAATTCTTATAATTGTAATTGTTTAAAAGCATGTATGTCTAAGAGGCTTGTGCATGGAATATGTAAAGATTTCTTACAGGTTAACAGTTAAATTACATGATGATTTAAAATTTTGGCAAAGAAACTAAGTAGACAATTTCCAAGATGATACACCAATGTCTGTTAAGCACATAAGAAGATACTGTATACAACAAGTAAATGTAATCAAAGTCACAATGCAACACTACTGTATAGTAGACTGACTAGAATAAAAGAGAGACAGACAATGACAAGTGCTAGTGATGGAGTGGAGAAAATACGCTGCTAACAAATTGGTAATATGTACAGTCACTTTGGGAAAGTGTGGCCATTCTCAAAAAGTTAAATATAGTTTTTCTTAAGTCATCAATTTCAGTACTATATACACCAAAGAATTGAAAATATGTTCATGCCTTCACAATATTAGCCATGATATGGAAATTTGCATATTCCAACTAAATTGTAATATCTTTAAATTGCTGAAGAATACTTGGTAATAATAATAACTGAGGTACTGATATTAGAATTTGGGTGAGCATGAAGAACATTATACTAAGTGAAATGTTCTGATAACAAAAATTAATTTCATGATTCTATTTTTATGAATCATAAGTATAGTAAGTATATTAATAGATGCCTAAGTCCGTGTTTGAGAAAGAGGATGGAATGGAATAGAATGTACAGCAACTATTAATGAATATGGGGGGAGACTATACTATGGTCAAAATGTCTAAAGGTGGTTAGAGTAATGGTTGTACAGTTCTATGAAGTGTGCTAAAAGCAATTGCACTCTAAGTCGGTCAGCTATATGATAATAGGGCTGGGATTATATAGTACACACACATACCTGTGATAAAACTCTATTCAAGATATAGCCAAACAGATTGCTTATTATTATTATTATAAAGGTTTGTAAAAATATGAATAATAACTGGGCAAGATGGCTAAGTTTGTAAAGTGCCTGTGGTATGGAAGCCTAGAGACCTTAGTTCAGATACCCAGCACCCATATGTGACAGGAATCAATGCAATATGGAAACTAGTATATTTATTTACCAGAGAAAGAACTTACACACAAGCTGGGAAGATCAGAAGCGTGGCAGGCTTCCGAGAGAGAGAGAGCTTTTGCATTCCCTTTTCCTTTTATCCTCACCTGTGCCCGTGCCCCTGTCCTTGTGGGCTCACCTCTACACCCATATAATAATTAGGTATGGTAGCATGTATCTGTAGTGCTAGAGCTGGAGGGGCAGGGCAGATACAGATCCCTGAGCTCATTGTCCAACCAACTTGCCTAGCCAAATAGGACGAGCTCCAAGTACAGTACCAGACCCTTTCTCAAGAAAGTTAAAGAATGATGGAAGACACCCAACACTGACCACTGTTCTACATGGGTGCACATGCTCACTTATGTATATACACATAAAAATATTAGTAGTTGGAGATCTAAGTGAAGGTTATATGAGAATTGAATTTTTCTATAAATTTGAAAGTTCTTAAAAATTAAAATACTTTGAAAGTTGGAGAATTTAAATTCCTACACCTAAACATGTAATTTTTTGTATTTAATCCTGTTGATAATCAGGTTAAATGTCATCAGTATTGGCCAGAACCCACAGGAAGCTCATCTTATGGATGCTATCAAGTCACCTGTCACTCGGAAGAAGGAAACCCTGCCTATATCTTCAGGAAGATGACACTGTTTAACCAAGAGGTAAGAAGTCAAGAGTGTCTATTCAGAAGAACTGCTATAAAGATTTTGAAAGCTGAAAATGTCTGAGTAGTAGTTACTAGGAAATAAAAATCACTCAACTGTTGGCTGGAAGGATGGTTCAGCAGTTAGGATCACTTGCTGCACGTCTTGAAGACCAGAGTTCAGATCTCAGCACTGATATAACAAGCTGAGCATAATTGCAAGTGCCTGTAACCCCAACTCTGAGAAATCAGAGACAGAAGGCTCCCTGTGGTTTTTTGAGTTTCAACATAGCTATGAGCAAGGACTAGGTTCAGGGACTAGTATAAAGTAATGATTCTTCATATAATTAACATAAACATATGCGCACACACACTTAAGTATCAACTGTTTGCTTTATAAATATTATTCTTCTGTATTATAATAAATATATTTTTCACTTCTAGTGGTAAGTGTGAATAATTAGTGAAAGGAGTTTGACAAATCCTATTACTATTACTAGTTTGCTTATTCATAATAGCATTTGCTGATAAAAAAATTTAGTGCAGTCAGTATTAGTAAAGTATTTGGATATGTCTCAGGCAATAGATAAAGCTGTTGAACTATATATGTCAAGTTGTTTAACTTTTTTCAAATAACGGAGAAGAAAGTTACAGGCCTTTTGACAGCAAACAGATTGCAACTTTCTGACTGCTAGCTCTTCTTAGTTCTACCAGTCATTTCCTTTTGGTTTCCAAAGCCAAAAGTAGACACTGATTAATGAGTGATGGCTTGGTCCCCTGGTTGAAATCTACATGTAAAGGACATCATGCTGCTAGTCCTGGCAGGCTCTAGAGACTGTGTATCTCATATTCACTGCCTGAAATTCATTCTTTCCCTGATAGCAGCCCATCACTTTTGTTTTTGAAACAGGGTGTTACTATATGGACCTGGCTGGCCTGGAACTTGTTGTATAGACTAGACTGGCCAGAAACACATGCTGCCTCTCCCTCCCAAGTGCTGGGATTAAATGCTTACACCACCACACCCAGCGACACTGCCTGTCATTTTAAAGGTAGCCGAAAGAAGGAAGTAACTGCAGCACGAGCTGTGAAGGCTCAGGGCATTCCCATCAAAGTTAAACCTTTGAAAGTGATATGTGGGGTGGAATCTGTCTCACAATAAAATGAAGGAAGCAGGAATCTTTGAATGAAGCTAAAGTTATGAGGAAAAAATTTAAAACTCATTCAAATAAGAATCAATTAAGGATTTGATGGTACATATAATATGTTATCTGTATGTCAAACCGTTAAGATAGTTCTTTATGTTAATCTTTATTTTCCCAAGTAGATAACCAAAACAAAGGTAGTTGGTATGTCTGTGTATATTGATTTCTATCTTAAATGTAGTCCTTTTTTTTGAGTCTATCTAAATTAGCCATAGCGGGTTTTTTTTTTTTTTTGTATATGCTGAGTACCTCAGAACTATGCCAAGATAAATTAATTTTAAAATTTGAGCCAAATATAATTGACAAAACAAATTTTCAGCAAATACAAGTATGCATACACTAATAGACAATAAATAGGTAGCTACTACTACCTTGTCTTGATTAGCGTTTACTTCCATGATCTCCCTTTAACATAAATGACACCTCCAGATTAAATGATGTTGAATGATAGTTACCTGTTTTAAAGTGTGTAAATAAGTGGTTTGATTTTGTTTAGTCTTTTTATAAAGCCTTTTCAATGTAAACATGGCCCTTTGGAGCGGTTGGTGTCATTTCACTTTTCACATGAAAGAAGAAAGCCTTGAAATATTAAGTTCCATACTGGCAGATTCAATATTTGAGCCAAGGTCCTTACTTTCATTATATCCACAATTGCTCCTCCCTCACCAAGTAGAATTAATCCTTACTCAACTTTGTGTTTTTAATTCTAATTTTTAATCTGTGTATATTTGGGGTTTTTATTTTAAAGTTTTGTTATACTTACGTATGTGCAGGTGCTTGTGCTTTTGTCATGGTGCACCTGTGGAGGTCAGATGACAACTAGTAGGAATATGGATGGTCTCCTTTCTACCATGTGGGTCCCAGAGTTTGAGCGTAGAATGTCATTCTTGGCCACAAGTGGTCTTAGCTGCTGAACCATTTCACTCTCCTGGGGCTTTTTCCTGTTGAATCTCCACAATTTCATTTGTGTTGGCATGTAAAGGTTATCTCAATTTTTGTTCATGTATAAAAGTTGTTACTTTACCACCTTTGCTCACCTGGAATTTCTTTTAGATAATCCTTTAAATAGTTCTCTGATCTTAATTTATTACTGATTGTTTATTTGATTACTATGCTCAAAATACTTTATAAATATATAAACTGAGTTGTAAAAGTTTAATAATATGCCAGGTAGTAGTGGTGCACATACCAGCACTCAGGAGGCAGAGGCAGGTGGGTCTCTGTAAGTTCCAGGCCAGTCTGGTCTACAAAGCAACTTCCAGGACAGCCAGATAGCCAGCACTATTACACAGAGAAATCCCATCTCAAAAAACAAAAACGAACAAAGAAAAAAGTATATTAATATAAATAACTTGTCCTTAAAAGGATACAACTATTTCTGTGAAATATATTCCTTGTGTTGAAAAATTACATTTTAGTGAGTTTATACATTGTGGCAAGAGAAAAAGGAAGGTAGTTTTGCTTTTCTTCTAAAATAAAAACGAATGTTTAGACTTTAGACTTTAAAGGTAATTCCTATGTCAAAATATGTAACTTTTTATTTTCATTTAGAAAAATGAAAGTCGTCAACTCACTCAGATTCAGTACACAGCCTGGCCTGACCATGGAGTACCTGATGATTCAAGTGACTTTCTGGATTTTGTTTCTCATGTCCGAAATAAGAGGGCTGGAAAGGAAGAACCAATTGTTGTTCATTGCAGGTATTTATTTCCTGCCCTTAATGAATGAATAATTAAGTGCTTGGGGGAATATATAGTATATTTTGGCTTTTTCTTGTGATTAATACTGTGATATTTAGAATAAAAGATGTGCTCCAAAGGTGGGAGACAACGGAAATATTGTCATAGTACAGTGTCCAGAACTATGGAAAGGAAAAGAATAGCCATTTTCCTACTTCTTTTCCTATTTTAATATCCTGAAATTAGAATGTATCTTACAATTGATTGTAACTTAAGATTTGATGAACTACTACCTTTATCTTCATGTGTTTGTGTTGGTATAGCAAGATACTCAAAACTGTGTAATTTATAAAAGCAGGAATGTAGTTTTCAGTTTTAGATTGCAAAAGTAAGTGTGGCCAGCAAAGGCCCATAGTACACAAACAAAGGGAGCTAATAAAGTGAAAATAGCCCTGTGGGCCTCTGAAGCTTAGCCAGTATGGAAAGAATCAGATCCAAATTGTCATCCTTCTTTTATATGTTAAATTTTTGAGATGAGGTCTCCTGTAGCCTGTGCTGGTCTTGTACCTCTTTTGAAACTGAATAACTGTGAAATCCTGATCCTCAGTTCTCCATTTCTCCAGCCCCCCTTATAACTTTCTATAAGCCTAGTTCCAGAGGATTTGATACCTTCTTCTGACTTCTTGAGCCAGGGATACATGTGATGTACATACATAAACACATACTTCAAAATATATAAATCTGAAAAACATTGTTGAGATAGTAAATTGTTTTTGGGGGGAAGCGGAGGGGAGGCAAGCACAACAGACATTGCAGTAGAAATTTTAAGAACCATAAAAGCATGGAATGGTATGTTGCAAGCCCTGAAAGTGAGTAACTAGTAAAACTACTATATCCAACAAAGCTACCTTTTAATATGAAAAGACTGAAACAGTTCACAACCTCTAAGTCAGCATTGCAAAAGGTACTTAAAGGGATCCTAAAAACAGGAGTAGGAAAGATAGCATCAATAGAGCACAGGAAAGAGTAAATTTCATGAGAGGACTAAATGAGCAAAAGATACCTAAACCCATGTTGCCAGTGAAATTGTTAATGCAGATAGGGAAAGTAAAAAGAGCAATTATTAGTCTAACCACCACCACAACAACCAGCAGAATTATAGGAGGGAAGGCGGGAAGGAAAGAAAAGCAAAGGCAGAAGAACTGTGCCCCCAACAAAATAAAAACTAACTACAACAAACCTGTAGCCAATATACCCTAAATGCAGGAAAACTCAACACATTTCCTCTATAGTCAGGAAAAAGACAATTCAGTCATTGAACATAGCGCTCTGTACTTGATTGAGTATAATCTCAAAATCTTTGCCAGAATAATAAGGAAAGAGAATGAAAAGATATAAATAATGGAGGAAAATGTTGAATTAGCCCTAGTTTCTTGTCACATGATCCGATTTTTGAAAGACCTTGTTGATTCCTCGAGAAAACTTAGCTCTAAGGAACACTTTTAGCAAAGTAACATGATTTAAAAAAAGAACTCATACACATAAACCAAAAATAGGTAGCATTCATAGGTATCATTAACAAATTTGTCAACAAAGAATTCAGGGAAGTTCCATTTACAATGGCTTCAATAAATAAAATACCTAAAAATAAATATAAGGGCATTAAAGACCTCTATTATAAAAATTTAAATACTGAAGAAAGTAATTGAAGACTCTGAAATTTGAACAAATCTCCCATGCTCATGGATTGCCAGAATAGTTTTAAAAATGTGTTACTAAAAGTAACTTACAGACTGAACATAATCCTTATCAAAATTCTAGTAACATCCACCACAAAACTGAGACAATCCTAAGACTCACATAAAAGCACAAAAGACCCCAAGTAGCTCCCCAATCATAAGCAGAGAGTGCCAAATACCTGGTCTCAAATTATACTATATAGCTATAGTGACAAAAACAGGGGAATACTGACATGAAACACACATGGAGACCAATGAACTAGAAAATGAAGCCAGAAGTAAATGTACACAGTTATTTCTACCATTTTACAACTATTAAAAACATACTTTTTTTTCTTGTTTCGTGTTAATCACAAATTATTCTTCAGCCCCAGCTAACAAGAAGGAACAGATTCTTAATTCAAAATATCATATGAACAGCCCAGATAGACTGTTCTGAGGAATTTACAAGGTAGGCCTCCATCATCTTCATTGCTCTCAGTATTATCTTCCAACAACTCATTAAGCTCCAAACACTCGATGACTTTTCCAGGTCAAAACTCCAAATTCTCTACCTTTTTCCCCATAAAATATCCCAAGGCATAAAAGCTACATAGTCAGGTCCACCACAGCAAGACCTCACTCTCATTACCAGTATCTACTGTAGTTTGATTTTCTTTTGCTGTGATAAACCACTAACCAAAAGCAACTTGGGAAGGAAAGGATTTACTTTACCATAATACCTTACTTTCCATTATGGAGGGAAGCCAGGGCAGGACTCACAGCAGGAACCTAGAGGCAGAAACTGAAGAACCCCCACAATGGTTATTCCCTTGCTACTGACTTGCTCACATACATTTCTTATATAACCTAAGGGCACCGCCCACAAGCTTCTCTACCCTCCTTTATCAATCAACAATTAAGAAAATGTGCCCCCCCAGACAAAGGGAGGCAGTTCCTCAATTAAAGCCTCTTCCTAAGTGACTCTAGTTCATGCTGAGTTAATAAAAAGTAACCAGCCACACACATATTGTAGAAAAAAACAACCTCATCAATACATGGTGCTGGAAAACTGGATATCCACTTGTAAAAGAATGAAACTAGATTCAGATTTCTCACACTGCATAAATATCAATTTAAAATGATCAGATACCTTAATATAAGACTTGAGAATCTGAAACTCCTAGAGCAAAACATAGGTTAAACACTTCACATTAAGTGTTTGGGCTGGAGAGTTGGTGGCTCAGTAGTTAAGAGTACTTGTTTGTACAGGTTTCTGTACCCAGCACTCACATAGTGACTAACAACCATCTATAACTCCTGTTGCTGGAGATGTCACCTTCTTCAGTCATTGGCTAGCACCAGGCACATGCACATGGGGGCCCTTCCATACATGCAGGCAAAACATTCATGTAGACAGAAGTTTCTGCCCTGCCTGGCCCTATAGCTGTTCATTCCCAAATAAACACACAGAGGCTTATATTAATTATAAACTATTTGGCCGATGGCTCACCTTCTTATTGGCTAGCTCTCTCTTAATTATTAACCCATTTCTATTAATCTGTGTATCTCCGTGTGGTCTTAGCTTACCAGTGATGCCCAGGTTTCTTGCTCCTAGGCAGCTACATGGCATCTCCATGACTCCGCCTACTACCTTTCTCTATCCCTGTTTGGATTTCCCACATGGCTAAATTCTGGCTGTCCATTGGCCAAAACAGCTTTATTAATCAAACCAGTAAGAGAAACATATATTCACAGTATACAGAAGGGCATCTCCCATCACACTCATACACATAAGAATAAAATATTTCTTTAAGAAACAAGTAAGATTCAGTGTTAAGAATGCTGAGATAAGCCGGGTGTTGGTGGCGCAGCCTTTAATCCCAGCACTTGGGAGGCAGAGGCAGGCCGATCTCTGTGAGTTCGAGGCCAGCCTGGTCTGCAGAGCGAGTTCCAGGACAGCCTCCCAAACAATACAGAGAAACTCCATCTCGAAAAGAAACAAAACAAAACAAAAGAATGCTGAAATATGTGTGGCTTCTTTATATTAGAGAAATCTTCAGTAGCTACTATAGTTATACTCAAAATCATTTCCAGGAGGTTTATTTTTAAGTATCACAATGGTAAGTTTGATATAAATTAACTTTGTTTTTTTGTTTTTTGTTTGTTTTTCTGGTTTTTCGAGACAGGGTTTCTCTGTGACTTTGGAGGCTGTCCTGGAACTAGCTCTTGTAGACCAGACTAGTCTCAAACTCACAGAGATCCTCCTGCCTCTGCCTCCTGAGTGCTGGGAATTAAGGCGAGCGCCACCACCACCCAGCAGTAAATTAACTTTGTTTAAAGCATTGATTATATAGGGTATAAAACATTATTGTTTTTTATGTATTTGTTAATAAAGTATTATTTTAAATCTGATACTTTGCATTTTAAAATGGTTTTAAAACATTTAACAGTTGACTTTCTCATTCTATGAAATAAACCTTAAGATGAAATTGTTGTGATTTGATACTTTGATATTTCTGCAGAAAAGCCACAAGTAATAGCAATTGTACCACTAAAACTTTGTATTTATCTCTCTCTTTTTTTAGTGCTGGAATTGGAAGGACTGGGGTTCTTATTACTATGGAAACTGCCATGTGTCTCATTGAATGCAATCAGCCAGTTTATCCACTAGATATTGTAAGAACAATGAGAGATCAAAGAGCCATGATGATCCAAACACCTGTAAGCACTATATTTCATAAGAATATATATCTCTTAAACATGGTGGATCTTGTTACTAATCTTGACTCTATATCTTTTTTCTAGCACACAGACAAACACACACATATACATGACAGGGTCCTACTGTGTAGTCCAGGCCAACCTAGAACTCACTATGTACCCCAGGCAGGCTCCAATTTCTCAGCCTTCTGACAAGTATGTGTCATAAAGCCTACCTCCAAATTATACTTTCATCTTTTTCATTCTTGCTCAAAAGCTATTGTTTTGAATTATAATAGTCATCTTCACTCTGTATTATAGATAAAAATACAGTGGAAAGCTTCCATATTTACCTTTTTAGGTGTCATCTGATGCTTTTATGCTGCAATAACACAGTGAAGCAACAGATACCTATGGCTGACAATGTGTAAAATACATCTGGCCTTTTACAGAAATAGTTTTACCAACATGTAGATGGTTAGCATGTTAACTCTTGAGTGCCGTCCTAGTGGAATACTGTCACTGAGCTCATCCCTAAACTGGAGAGCTTTTGGTTTTCAAGACAGAGTTTCTCTGTTGTGTAACTTTGGCTGTCTTGGAACTCCCTGAGTAGGCCAGGCTGGCCTCAAACTCATAGAGATCTTTCATCCTTTGTCTCCCAGGTGCTGGGATTAAAGGCAAGTGCCACCACCTCTTAGCTTAACTGAAGAGACTTAGTAGGACTTTGGTTGGGACCACAGTTGTGACAGAAAACCTTCCTTTTTCCTAAGAATTTAAATTGCATGACAATAATAAAATTCCTAGAAATTAAACTGCTTATTCATAATATTCTCCACTAACTTTTCATTATGTGTCAGGAATCAAAACCATCAAGAAACTTTAGAATTAGTGTTAAGATTGGTTTCATACTTATGAGTCCAGAGTGAGATGTTGACATTGTTAGTGGCAACAAGATTACTTGATGCTATCTGACCTAAGTAATCTAAAAACACCTGTCATTTTCAAAGTTTCTAAATTTCAAACTTTCTCAAAAGTTGACATTATAAAAAACATTATAAATCACCATTTTCTGACTAATTTTATGTATTATACAGTCACTTTCTCACTACTTAAATCTTGGTTGTCATAAATATTTTAGTATGTATCTAAAAGATAAGAACTGTATTTTTCCTTAAAATATGCCATTATCATCTTTAATCCCAGTACTTAGGAGGCAGAAGCAAACTGATCTTTGTGAGTTCGAGGCCAGCCTGGTCTACAGAGCAAGTTCTAGGACAGGCTCCAACACTACAGACAAACTCTGTCTGACAAAACAAAACAAAACAAAAAACTATTATCTCACCTAAATATATTTATAATTTCTTAATATTATAAAATAGTGTTCAGATTTCCAGTTTCAGAAAAACCTCACTTTTGAATTTTAGAACAACTTTATTGAAATACAATTTGCATGCCATAAATTTGCTCTTTCAAAGCATTACTTCGGTAGTTTTTCAGGATATCTCAGATTTGCGCTCTCTATTTTTAGAAATTTTTATCATCCCATAAAGAAACTCCTTACTCTTTAAGCCCTATTCCAATTTTTTCTGATACTCTCCTTCACTATCCCTTAGCCCCAGGCTAAGCAAAAGTGAATCAGTTAATGTATACTCCAATGTGTATCAGCACTTCATGTTTTTTTTATTGCTGAGTAATCTTTCATTATATAGGTCTAGCACATTTGGGATATTTCTTTATTAACTGATGGATGTTTAGAGTGTCACTGTCTCATGAACACTTACATGACATGTTTTTATTTTGTTGGGTATATTCATGAGTAGAACTGCTACATCAGTGAGCTGGGACACATTCAACCACTGAGTTGTATCCTCTATCAAAGGCAAAATTTTGTGTCTAATAATGGAAAATAAGGGTTCCATTATCTTAACATCATGAAAATCTATATGTTTAAAAGAGTTTGGCTTGTATATGGATATAAAGTGTTATTGTGACTTTGATTTGCATTCTCTTAGTAATGATATCAAGTGTATTCTATAAAAATTGTCTTGCTCATTTTTATTTGTCATAATGTTGGATTTATATTTTCTAGATAGAAGTCCTATATGAAATGTGTATTTTCATACACTTTCATTCTTTTTGCTTCATTTTCCATTTATTTAAAAATGTTCCCATTTATTTATTTCACGTGTGCTACTTATGTAGATGGGTACGTGCATGCAATGGCTCACCTGTGAAAGTGAGGTGTCTAGTAGGTTCTTTTCCTCCTTGTGGGTCCCAGGGACCAAACTTCAGGTTATCTAGTTTGCTGACCCTTGGGGGAGGGAGGATTGTTGTTGTTTTGCTTTGTTTTTTACTTTGTTTTTCCTTATTGATCTCATTTAAGACCTAAATTTGGATTAGGAATATAAAGATGTATGTATATTCAATCTCCAGCACCACATAAATAAATAACCCAAATATTTTTAACTTTAATGAAGTCTGGTATTTCTTTTTATTTTTCATTGTAGAGGTCCTAGATTTGTTTAGGTTTACTCCAGGATATTTTATGTTCTTTGAAGTTACTGTGAGTGGGGATATACTCATGCTCTCTTTCAAGGCATGTTTGTTGGTTGTGTATAAAAGACTCTTTTTTTTAATCTAAGTTATTTAAAGCTATATTGCCACTTTGTTGAAATAGTTGATTGTTTCCAGAAGTTTTGTGGTGGAACTTTTGAGATTTCTTAAGCATAATATTAAATCATCTGCAAATAGAGGTAGTTTGTTTTCTTCTTTTCCTATTTGTATCCTTATAATTTCCTTCCTTTACCTTACTGCTCCAGCAAATGCTTCTGGCACTAATTTGGAAAGAAGTGGGGATTATGGACAGCTCTGTCTCATTTCTGACTTTAATGGAATTGCTTCAGAGCTTTCTCTATTTAAGATAATGTTGGCTGTAGGTTTATTGTATATAGCCTTTATTATGTTGATGTATGTTCTCTCCAGTCCTAATCTCTGTAGGATTTTTGTCATGAAAGTCTGTTGGTTTTCTCAAAGACTTTTCCCACATTGATTGAGATGATCATACGATTTTTGTCTTTAAGTTAATTTATATGACTTATTTTATCTGTTGGCTTATATATGGTGAACCATCCCTGCATTTACAGGGTGAAGCAAGTTGGTCATAGTGGATAATATTTTTGATATATCTGAATTCCATTTGCAAATATTTTATTGAAGATTTTCTTATTTATGTTCATCAGGAATATTGGTCTGTAGTTTTCTTGTCTGTGTCTTTGCCTGTTTGTTTGTTTGCTTTTATTAAAGTAACACTGTTTTTAGAAGTGTTTCTTTCTGTTTTTATTTCTTTTTTGCTTTTTTTAATTTTTAAAAATAATTTTTAGAAGTATTGACTGCCCAGGTGGTAGCGGCACATGTCTTTAATTCCAGCACTCAGGAGGCAGAGGCAAGAAGATCTCTGTGAGTTCAAGGCAATAAGGCCAGTCTGGTCTATAGAGTGAGTTTCAGGACAGACAGGGATATCACACAGAGAAATCTTGTCTTGAAAAACAAAAATAAAACAAAAAATAATTAATTAAAAATTATATGGTAGAATTCTGCGATCAATACATCTGAGCAGGGATTTTTTTTTTTTGAGACAGGTTTCTTCATGTAGCTTTGGAACCTCTCCTTGTTTTAATGCCTTTATTTATTATAGGCAGTCTGTTTAGGTTGTTATATCTTTTCTTATCTTAACTTCAGTGACTTGTATAAAATTAGAAATTTATTCATTTATATATAAATATATATATGTCCATTATACATGTGAATATAAAGAATGTCCAATATTTCCAACTTAATGGAGTATAGGTTTTTAAATTATACTAATTATAAGGTATTATACTTTATAAGATTCTGGATTTCTTTGATTTCTATTGTAATGTTTTCTTGTCCATTTCTGATTCTGTTAATTTGAGGTCCTCTCTTTCTTTCTTTGTTGCTTATTTATCATCTCAGAGAACCAGCTCTTGGATTCATTGATTCTTTGTAGTATTTCATTTCTAGTTCATGAATTTCTGCTGATTTTTATTATTTCTTGCCATATACTGGATTTGAATTTGTTTTTTCTCATTTATATAAATTCTTGATCTGCATATCATTAGTCATTAATTAATTTGTGCTTTCTGACTTTATAGCTTCTAGCTATAACTTTTCTTTATAGGACTGCTTTTAATGAAACCCAGAGGTTTTATTAGTTTGTATTTTCATTTTCATTTAGTTCCAGGAAGTTTTAAAATTTCTTTCTGACTTTGACCGATTTATCATTTAGTTGTTTGATCTACATGAGTTAGTGTGCTCAGGAGAGGTTTATTACTGTCAATAAGTTTTATAGCATTAAAGTCAGATAGGATATATGGAATTATTTTAGGTTTTGTAATTTGTTAATGTTTTGTGTTTGTGTGTGTTCTGGGATGCCCTATTGTAGAGAAACTTCCGTGGGCTGCTGAATAGAATATATATTCTCTAGTGTTTGGTGGTATATTCTGTAGCTATCTGTTAAGTGCATTTGATGTATGATGTTTAATTCTGGTGTTTATTTTTTTTACCAAATGACCTATTAGAGAAAGTGTAGTATTAAACTCACCCAGTACAATGGTTTGATGTTAATCTGTGTTTTTAATTTCGGTTGTACATTTTTTCATAAAATTAGGTGCACCAAATTTGGTGCAATTATGTTTAAGATTGTAATGTATTCTTGATTAATTGTTCCCTTTGGAATGAAGTATTCCTCACCATCTCTTTTAATTAGTTTTACTTTAAAGTTTATCTTGTCGTATATTAGGATAGCAATGTCTGATTGCTTCCTGGTCCCATCTGCTAGTATACTTTTTTTTATCCTTTTACTTTAAGGTGGTACTTATCTTTAAAGGTAAGGTGATTTTCTTGTAGACAGCAAAGGATACATTTTTGTGTTTGTTAATATTTAAAGTTGTTATCGAAAGGTATGTATTGATCACAGTCATTTTATTTGTTTTGCTGTTTGT